CGCGCTCACACATGGCGGTTTTTCGATACATGCAACTGAAACATTACTTCAACTCACTCCCGCACAAAGAAAAGCTGCGAAGAGACCTCACATGGTACAAACAACTCTGCTCCAAGGGCACGTCATTAGGGAAAGCTATCTCGAACCTCTACCAATACATACTGACCAGCCCCACCTCGGAAAACAACCTCTTCAAACGACACTGGGAACGAGCCATGGCTAAGTCCTTCACACCAGCACAATGGGACAAGGCCTTGATATGGCAGCACAAAAGCTCCTCCAGCTCTCACTATCAAGAGGTGAACTACAAGTTGCTTTCCATGTGGTATCGAACACCTGTACTGTTACATAGGATCTTCCCCACTACGCCACCAACGTGTTGGAGATGCCAGGAGGATAGGGGGAACATGCACCACATATGGTGGGAATGTAAACACATTGCCCCATACTGGGACCGGATCAAATCAGACATTCAACTAATCCTGGGAGATGACCTTGAATGGTCAGAGGAACTAGCCTTGCTACACATATCCACACGACCACTATCCACATACAAAAAAATCTATCATGCGTCACCTATTGAATGCGGCCAAATCGCTCATACCGGTATACTGGAAGAAACCAGACATCCCGACAAGGGAGGAATGGATCCACCGAGTTGAGGATATCAGGGCAGCGGAAGCTCTGAAGGCGGAGATGACGGGCAGGGAAGCTCAACACGCTGAAGCCTGGGCACCGTGGTATACATACCGCTCACAACCTTAGGGAGGTCCGGGGGGGGTCTAGGGCAGGGAGACGATATGGAGCTCAATAGACCCGTGCGACATGAAGCACACTCTGTACCGATCACCTGACGATCGCAGATTCAATCGATACACCTAACACTCCATCCACAACATTTGGGGGATAAACACATCCCCGCCACTTCAATAAGAACACGAGATCTCAACCGATACGACGGATAACCCTGACCCGCAGTAACTCCATAGGTCAAGGGGGGACATCTTAGGGCATGGCCCATATCCCCACAGAACCACAAGGGGGGGCATATTGAGCACATCTGGACATGGCACGCATACCACCTCTATAAGACAACGCTGACAACCAGATTAACGGACGTGAGCGGCAGCCCCGAGACATAGCAACACACACATACACCACGAAACTATACCTCTCCTGATGAACCCTAGAAAACACATACTCCGCACCGGCACAGACCCAAGCAAGGGCCCTCACGGTTGACCTCACTTTGACATACTGCAATACGACAACATGATAAATAACAAGAACCTCAACTAGGTTAATAGCTACCGCACCCAACTCGGATGGGTTCTAACCCACGGGAAAAGGACGCAAACCTCGCACAACCGACCAAACAAGCCCATTTCAATAGAAACAACTCGATTGCCATATGGACGGGGTCACCTTCGGTTGTAGATGGATTAAAAGGGGGTAAACTGACTACACTAAGCCCTGGGTACGTACGGATCTCTTCTCACCACTCTCCATATCCCTGCATTGTGGATCTCGTATCAGACAGACACCACACACTCCTACACATGACCACTAGTTAGGATACTATCCTTCACACCGAAACACACAACATACATTCATCGACAACTACTCTGGATTAATTCCAATCAAGGAACCGCATCCTTAGAGTACATATGAACGCTACCATACCCATGTAGCTCTAGCTTTATCTGGAAGCCCCTAACTCCAGGATATACTGTGACGATAATATTTTGCAATTCACGCTTTAGAAAATAAACATAATTGTACCCTATCATTGGTTGTATATTGGAACAGGGAACATCCCTGCATATGTACATGTATATGTTATACTTCAAGATTGCTACCTTCACTGTTTGACTGATGTGGGCCTGCGAGCCCTAAAATCTATCATACCCAATTGCTAATAAAAATCTGATTAACAAAAAAAAATAAAACACTAAAACTATATACAGGTACCACTTAAAACACCAACACTGTACATTACACTATAGAGCCAGTAAATGCTGCAGCGCTGTACAGATATACAACCTAGAAATTATGACTTGGGGTGCCTTGGAAAAATATTAAAATATTGAGCGCCTTGAACCTAAATAGTTTGGGAACCACTGCATTAAATAGTGAATTAAGGTGAGCTAAAAACAGAACTGCTAGAGATCTTCTTATGTCAAGATTACTTTGAGGTCAATTTCGGCTTGTTCTGAAATCACAACTAATTGTAAAACACTGATGAATAATTGAGGTAATACAAGTTAATCTATTTTGCCAACCCAGATATACTCATATGGTCTGTGGGTTCTGAACTTTTTCCTTAAAATCCTGTCCACCAACAGATTATGGGATATGTATTGCTTTGGCAATTTGTCAGATTGGCTACTATCAACTTATTCAGCAGTTGGAAGCTACTGTTTGGATGTGGCTAACAACCTTCTCTAGACTGTAAGCTCATTTGAGTAGGGTCCCTCTTCTACCTATGGTTCATGTATCATTTTGTAATGGTCTCATTTACTGTTAAATTTCCACACTTTCATAATATTGTAAAGAGCTGTGGAATAAGTTGGCGCTATGTAGATACCAAAAACAATAATAACCTGTGAAAAGACTTATCAAAGACTATAACAGTTGGAAACTCTGCAGGTTCCTGTATCGAATAATTAATGTATGTAGATGTCACAGAGGCTTCTTCTACCGATATTCACATTATGGAGTTTTATTTACCAAACTGATCAACCTATCATTAGTGCATTGACTTTACAAGTACTTTCATGCAGGGTTGATCATGAAATTTAAAACAAAATTTCAAATGTAAGGTCAAAAAAGACCAACTAGAAAAATTATCAAAGTTAGCTTTGCTTTCAGTTTGGCTACTGTAGCCTTAAACTTAAAATCCCCTTTGAATTTACTTTGCATTCTCACTTTAGTGAATAACCCTGGGAGAGAGAGAGAGCTCACACAAACATTTAAATTAATGCACTACGGAATTTGCTGCTGCTATGTAAATAATAACAACAACAATAATAATATAGCTAAAACTGCCAGTTAAAATTGTTTTAATTATGCAGATTTATTTTAGGGGTCAGTTAAGGTCTTCTTTTTTTATATTGGATACATAGGGGTAGATTTATACACTGAATATATAGGTCAGTGAGATAGCTCAGTGGCCTAATGCATCATCAATAGAATCTGTTTAACCCTTCAGAGGTAGATCAAATGATTACCATTACATTGGGTAAAAGTAACATCCCCAGGAATAATTTTGTAACCAGATTAATCTAAATGTACCTTTCCTGTTTAAATACTTTTTTTAAATTATATTTATCAAGGAAAAAAATGGATTTATTTTTTTAAATATTTTTTTTTGCCCAAAACAGAAAGTAATAACCACCACAGAATCCTATACAATGTGTCAATATTTAGCATTTTGTGTGAAATTGGTCTTTATTGATACAGCCAGTGTATATAAAACTGAATTTCCTATGCAGAGGAAAAGTGACATGGAAAGTAATCCACAAAATATAGGTAATTAGTACATATTAGCTTGTAATCTTTCCGCCGTATCTGGAATATCAAACACCTTTCTGATCTGTCAGCTGAGAACCTGTTCCAGTTTATTATGCAAATTAGATTTTTCTCATTTACCTAAATACTTGATGTAAATAACAGTCAGCATAATTCTCATGTTATTTACTATTAGGAGTACAATTAGAATGTTATTGAACAAACCTCCTAATGATAACAGTATTTTTTTTTAAAACATAAAAAAAACTTACAATGCACTGTTCCAAATTATTGTGCACAGTAAGTTTCAAAACACTTAATAGGTTGTAAAGAACTGAAAATTGTCATTTGTTGTGTTTGCAGCATATTTACTGAAATCAAAAGCTATTTCAATCAAACTTATAACAACATTTTAACTTTTTAAACATTTTAACAGGTCACGTTACATTTTAACATAGGACCCCTTATTTGATAGCAGCTTCACAAGTCTTGCATCCATTGAACTTGTGCGTTTTTGGACAGTTTCTGCTTGAATTTGTTTGCAAGATGCCAGAATAGCCTCCCAAAGCTGCTGTTTGGATGTAAACTGCCTCCCACCCTCATAGATCTTTTGCTTGAGGATGCTCCAAAGGTTCTCAATAGGATTTAGGTCAGGGGAGGATGGAGGCCACACCATGACTTTCTCTCCTTTTATCCCCATAGTAGCCATTGATGCAGAGGTATTCTTTGCAGTGTGAGATGGTGCATTGTCATGCATGAGGATGATTTTATTACGGAAAGCATAGTTCTTCCTTCTGTACCAGGGAAGAAAGTGGTCAGTCAGAAACTCCACATACTTTGCAGAGGTCATCTTTACACCTTCGGGGACCCTAAAGGGGCCGACCAGCTTTCTTCCCATAATTCCTGCCCAAAACATGACTCCACCACCACCTTGCTGACGTCGCAGCCTTGTTGGAACAGGGTGGCTGTCCACCAACCATCTGGACCATCCAGGGTTGCACGGCACTCATCAGTGAACAGGACTGTTTGAAAATTAGTCTTCATGTATTTTTCTGCCCAATGCAGCCATTTCTGTTTGTGAGCATTGGTTAGTGGTAGCCGAATAAAAGGTTTATGCACAGTTGCAAGACTCTGGAGGACTCTACACCTTGATGTCCGTGGGACTCCAGAGGCACCAGCAGATTCAAATATCTGTTTGCTGCAATTTAATGATATTTTAGCAGCTGCTCTTTTGATTCGATGCATGGATCTAGCAGAAATCTTTCTCAATGTGCCTTTATCTGCATGAATCTGTGCTCTGAATCAGCCACAAATCTCTTAATAGTGTGATAATCATGCTTAAGTTTTCGTGAAATATCTAATGTTTTCATACCTCGTCCAAGGCATTGAACCATTTCACTCTTTTCGGCAGCAGAGAGATCCTTTTTCTTCCCTATATTGCATGAAAATGGTGCTCTGCTTAATAATGTGGAACACCCTCCCTTAGTACTTTTTCCTTAAATTGGGCTCACCTGGCTAATTATCACAGGTGTCAGAGATTGTTTTCAGTGATCAAAAGAGCCATGAGACACAATACCATCCATGAGTTAAACTGAAAAACAAAATATTTCATCTTTGTGACAAATAGAATTTACATAATAATTTGAAACAGGGTGTATACTGAGCAATCAGTCATCCAGTAAAGCGCCTGTTTTTCCTCATCCCCACCCATAGTCTAACCCCAGCCATTCCAATCTGGGCAAAGCACGTCGATCCAGAGGTTAAAATAGGCACTGGCTTACCGGCCCCCGCTAAAGGGAGCTAGAGAAAAAAAAACCATAAGTGGGGAGGAGGAGGGCATCAAGTGAGAGGAGGGGTGCAGATAAATTAGACATTCACAAATCTGCCAAAGTCTGCAGAGAACAGGAACTCTAGCCTGTAAAGTCATTCGCTAGACATATCTTTCGCTTTCCTTGACCATGGTGGCTTTCAAATCTTAAAATTTTCTGGTGTCCTCAACCTCTTCCACCCACTTTTTCAGCGGAGTTGCCTACATTTGTCTCCAGTAGATCAGGATTACTACCTTAGCCGTGTTCAGGAGTCTTAAAATTGCTGAGTGCCTATAGCTCTGCACTGTGCTAGGGGTGTGGTGAAGCAGGTATGTCATTGGTTCCATAGGTGGAGATTCCTCCGATAACCTCCCCATTAAATATTTAGCACTTTACACCTAGAACAGCACCTGTTTTGCCTCTGTTTATCTTTAAGAGCTAACAAATTAAACAACACCTCATACAGTGCACAGAATGTATGTGGATGTCTAGAAGGAGTCTTCAATGTTATAGTCTTGTGATTTAAAAGCATCATAGTCCATGCTTAAATAACTAGTTAGAATTTCTGGGTGGACCAAAAACAGATAAACATTTTTAGTCTGTTTAAAGCACTTACTTCATCCTTCTCCTCCTGCCTGCGTCTGCGTTCTGCTTCAATCACCAGTTTTTCTTGGATTTCCTGAGCTATTTCACCATCTAAGAGCTCACTGGAGAGAACAAAATTAAAAATAAACTTAATACTAGGTTTCAGAATATAAAATTATACAGCATTCTCTATAAACTCACATTTGTTGAGCTCTTCTGCCAAGATCCCAGATCCTCTAATAGAGTTATTTTATATACTAATGGTTTTGAAACACAATTAAAGAACATTTCCCCCTTTTGTGCAGCCACTTTGCAGCAATGTAAGTGTCCATAAATCAGAGAATTTGTGTGTCTGCTCAAATCTAACATTAAAGCTACAGAAAGTGACTGACCACACAAATCACAAAATGGAAAACTGCCTACACTCAATTACTCCAAGTTCAAGAACCACTATAGGCACCCAGACCACTTCAGCTTAATGAATTGGTCTGGGTGCCAGGTCCAGCTAGGTTTAACCAGAGAAACTGCTATGTTTATAATAGGGTTAATCCAGCCTCTAGTGGCTGTCTCATTGACAGCCGCTAGAGGGCTTCCGCGCTTCTCACTGTGATTTGCACAGTGCTAAGACGCCAGCATCCATAGGAAAGCATTGTGAATGCTTTCCTATGGACTGGCTGAATGTGCGTGCGGCTCTTGCCGCGCATTCGCATTCAGCCGGTGACGGAAGAAGAGGGAGGAGAGGAGAGCTCCCCGCCCAGTAAATTAAACCCCTTCCTCACCCTAGAGCCCGGCGGGAGGGGGACCCTGAGGGTGGGGGCACCCTCAGGGCACTATAGTGCCAGGAAAGCGAGTATGTTTTCCTGGCACTATAGTTGTCCTTTCAGCAAACAAAAGGTATGTAAAAAATATCAATAGCTAGTTTATATGGCATGTTTACATTAAGAACATGAAAACCATAATAAAATTCCAGACTCTTCATAATAGCCCAGACAATCATTCTTTAAGAACTGTTCAGAGGATGGCAGAACATTTTGAAAGCGGATACTATATGTTCCCATATTATTAAATTTAGAAATCAACCTATACCACAGCCATATATAATGGCCAGACATGGGGGGATATATTTTGGCCTTAGCTCCTCAAAGTCCCTGCTTCACCTGGTCCTGAGTTAAGTATGAGAGTGGGGGACATATTAAATAACAAACCTACATGGTTACGTGGTTTTATTTAACCTTTGACACAACCTTTGAGTACAATAGGGAACTTTTCCCAGAAAGTGCAATATGGGCCAATAGGATCCTGAAGAGAATGTTGAAACAGTGCTCCCTGCATGGTCCACCTTGTTTGATTGGTATGCAACTTGCCAGTTTTTTGGGATGCGCACACCATTTTTCCAGGTGAGTCTGCCCCCTATGCTTGGCACCAATGGCAAATTTGACATCAATGGACTGCCCCCTTTTACCATACACACTTGCACCCCTATTCATGACACTGATGTTAGGGGGGTATGCGCTATTTTAAAGCATTACTCCAATCACCATAACCACTTATGCTTTTAGAAGTAGTCATAGTGGTAGAAGTCTGTATGCGCAGCATTTTTGCTTGAAACACTGCACATCAAGAGATATTTGCACTTGTATCGGAGGAGTTAATTATCACAGAGCTCTGTTCTGGGCTGCCTAATATAAAAGTCTGTGCAATAAAAAAACACCTGTGTGTTGCCAGAGCATTGTGAGTGCTGGCGAAAGAAAGAGTGTGCATCTCTCCTCCCTCAACTAAATGTGTCCCAGCCATCATCGCCTACCTATCTCCTTGAGTATCTTTTTTTTTTTTTTTATAAAAATCCTCACCCCCTCCCCTTACCAGCTCAGAGCATGTGCTGACACTTTGAGCCGGTTAAACAGTCCAGTCAATCAAATTATTTGACTTGACTGCAAAAGAGAGCTTAATTCCAGGTAAGTTTACTATATTTTGGTAGTATACATTTCAGCCATTAAATGGTGGGGGAGCACCAGGCAGTAAGCCCAGTAGGGTGGAGTAAAATAAATGTTTACTACTAAAGGATTGGACTGGCACTTTAACCCTAAGACTGCTCAACAATGTATCTTTAATCCCCACATTGGAACAGATCCTCAGCACAATCCACAAATATAATACATGTGAGGAAAATGCAGGAGAAAAATATTACTGCTTTTTTGCCTAAATTGGTAGTAAAAACACAAATGAGGGGGGTAACTAGTGAATTTATTACTCATTGTTTTATAAAAGTATAAACACTTAAGTCATGTTATCAGAATAACGAACTCCACAAATCAGGACATGCTTTTTAATTACTTATATAATTTTTAGTTGCATCAGTTGTGTTACAATGAACACTGGCAAAAGTGGGTGGGGAGGGGGTTAAGATTTTTATACTAAAAAGAGTTGAATTATTATATTATATTTCAATAGAAATCTCAACTTGTCCTCTAAAAACAAATATACATGTTTATTTTAGTAAATTGCCACACAACTTTTAGAAATATGACCAACACAAATGTCATCAAAATGCTCAAAAATTAGCTTGGAATGTTACACTATTTTATTCAGATAGTACTATAGGATGGAAAATATGAGTTTCAATTCACCCAGCTCTCCATTTATTGTCCGATTTTAGTGTGTCCATTGCATTAAGTGCAAAATTGTAAGCCTCCAAGGCACTTAAAAGTGTTACTGCATAGTTAGACTACTAAATATTTGCAACAAGGTATAGGTGGGGTATAGGATTCATGTATTTCCATTAACTACACTTTACAACCTGCTGATTAAAATGACACAAAACATTTGTTTAAATGAAATATGTATTATTTTAGATTTAAAGAAAATAGAGTGACAAGAGCACTTAGAGTATATGTCACTCACTGTACAAATAAGCCCCTCTACCCTATCCCCCCACCCCACAGACACACACATCATGAATAAAAGCAAAATTTCCATCACAGACAGAAAAGTAAAGATACCACTGCTCCCAAAGGAAAAATGCTTTTCCACCTTATATGCGGTATTCTATAACAGAAATAGCAAGTTAATTGAAAACAATGATATTAGCACCATTTAAATGTCTGTGCCCCAATAAACTTTGGTTATATTGCAATTTAATTAAGTCTGCCATTAAGAATGAAATTGTGGGAACATAATGGCACACTACGACTGCCATTTGAATATCTTTTAGAGAAACCTTAACTTTCTTTATTACTTCATACTTCATTGCTCAGAGAAACTGTCACTGGGGGATTTGTTTATATATACACAATCTTCTTCCCCATAGACATTTTGATTAAAGAAGTTTGGTCATATACTTTCCATAGATCCTGTGGTTTGTAAAACAAAGTAAATATTTAAAAATGGTAAAAAAGGAATTGTTTGGGTCAGTGCAGGTGTAATACATTTTATATTTTTTGTCATTTCAAGGAAACTGCAGATAATAAAAGACATTTGCTTAAAACTCCCCAACCACTTTGGTTTTTGTGGTAGGTGGTAATGAAATTTAGACACACTTCTATTGTGTCCTCTTTATGAAGAATCACAGCCAATGTTCTGGTTATTACGTAAATTACATACAGTTTCGTTATGAGGATATTTCACTTACTGTTTCAAAGAATTACACAATTAGTTCCATTAAGTTAACCAAAACAGAATAAAGGAAAATTTTAGAAGTCTAACTCTATGGGCCGCTAAACATGAGTAAAATTGCTACATATTAGCTGGACTATGAAAAGTATTCTTCTTAGAACAATGAATGGACACATTAAAATCAGATAATAAATGGAGAGCTGGGTGAATTGAAACTCATGTTCCATCCTATAGTACTATCTGAATAAAATAGTGTAACATTCTAGTTTCAGAGTACACCACTGACTGATTTGGATTCCCCTGAGGAAGTCGGCACACGGAGGACAAAACACGTAGGGCAATTTGTTATAATTGTTTTAGTGGACACTGGATTTTCTTCTCTTTACTGACGAACTTATATGCAATGAGGTGAAAATCTTTGTAGTGGAACCTGAATAAGTCTGATTTTGGTGTGCCTTTTAGACTTCTTACACTTGTAAGTGCAATACTATTAAAATGGTTTGGCTTTATATTATACAATTTTGCACTCTGCTTGCAATTTTATTCTTTCGCGTGTTACTGAGAATATTGGGATTCGAAGTACAGAAGATTTCTGATGCAGCACTTGTTCTGTTTGCTAGCAATTTACTTTTGTGACGGCAATAACCCACTTCTTTACATATGGTGTTTAACTGTATTACACTATTTCTGATTGTTTTATTGTAGATTTGTTTTGTTATATCTAAGGAAGACACAGATGAGTCTTTATCTACAATATATTGTGGAAAAGGGCAATATCTCTTATTATCTTTTACCCCCTTGGCTGTATATAGGTGTTTTTTTATATTTCTAGTTTAAGAGTATGTTGGCACATATCTTGTACAACTCATACCCAGTATTTCTGCATTACCTGGAACATGCTAAATTAATTACATAGAAGTAAAAACAGAAAACAATAGCTTACTGCAGTACCAATATAGTTAAATATACTGCTCAGTGCTGCTGAGGGAAAAGCACACAAACTGAAAGTTGAAATAAAGCGCAGCCAACGATGTGGTGCACCACAGTACTACAGCTTTCAATGAAAAACATATATAAATACAGCAAACATTTAGGGTGTAAGACCCTTTATCAATGGGTGAAGCATTTCATGTATTTATATAAACTACTTTGTTAAATGCTGTGCCACGGAGGAGTATTACTTCATCAGCTGTGTCTTTAAGTTTGTACGAAACTACACTGTGGTCATTGGGAAGATGTATCAACTATTAGAAGAAGCTTTGGTAGCTGCACCGGTCATATATAATCTCCAACTTACAGTTCAACATGTTGATTTTTCAGCCGGGCTTGTGCTTGGAGATCTTCCTCTTCCTGAAGTTGCTTGGCTACTTTCAAATCATGCTTAACTAGTCGGTTTCTCTGGATGTTTGTTGCTAGATGATGCTCAACTAAGAGAAAACATATAGGATGATGGAAAGCTACAGGTTGACCAGTTAAGACTCATTTAAAAATCGAATAACTTTATATAACTGAGATTTGCCACTGAGGCTCAATATTTCCAAGCTGTTTGTTAGGTCTGTCAGGTAGGGCAATACATACTAGAGTGGAAGTACCCTCTTCAGTCTCCAAAACCTCCACTCATAGCCTCTTATAGTCTACACTCTATTCTAATCTTTTTAGAGCTATTAAGAGCCCGGGAAACAAACTACCATATTTCTGCTGGTATTTTATTATTTTAGTTTTAGAAAAAAGTGTTGACATTTCTTGCACTGTAACAGAACATACTAAAACTTGTCCTCTAAACACAAACCAATCCACATTATTCATAACATTTCAAATCATTAATGTTGCATTTGGCTGTAATTTTAGAATTTCACCTTTCTAATTTCACATTTTCTTTAATAAATACTGCATTTAGCTACATTTTTCATATACATACATATTTGTTTCTAAACATTCTAGTATGGTCTCACCGTGTGCTATAAATGGAATCCAGAACCTTTGCATTTATAGCATGGCTGTTGCAGCATGAATAAATCTGTGACAGATGAGTATACTGAAGAAAAGATTTACCGTAGTTCAAGAGGCAAGGCTTTCAAAAAAATTCTGACATTCTCTTATGAAATATCCAATAGGTACACCATTACAATTTCCGCAAAAAATTATTATTTTTGCAGTAATTATAAAAAAAAGGAAGTTTGACATAAGAGTATGAAGATTAAATAACTTCATGCTTATACATATTAGGGATGTGCATGGGCAAAAAATTTGGTTCGGTTCGGCACTTCTGAAATTCGGGAATTAGGCACTTTCCTAACCCTAATCCTACCCTTAACTCTGCAAGGGTTAGATTCCGGTCATCATTCCCTTAATTTCCCTCCCTCTCCTGTTTTGCCACTTTTCAGAAATCCGAAGCACTTCGGAAATTCGGCAATTCAGACATTCAAAAGCATCCGTATTGCCGAAATTTACATTCGGACCGAAATGAATTGCACATGTTTAATACATATAGCCTTGGTCTAAAAGTATGTTGGCAAAAAATATATGCATTATTGTATAAAGAAATGCCTCTGCAGTTTATGTTTCTGGATGCATTTTCCAGAGATATTTGGTCTAAAATATGAATTTCCAAGTATGAAAACATATACAGTAAAATCAGCTCTCATTGTAGTACCACCACAGTTATGTTCCCTCTTCCTCTCGGTTTATGCTTGTCGATTTTAATATATGCATTGTCTTATTTTTTTTTTTTTTTTTATCATTTTCAATGTATTGCTTTAGTCTTTTGTTTTTATTTTTGGTGAATGGTAAGAGATTATAAAGCTATACTATTATTTAATAGCTTCAGAGCAGTGGTTACTTTTTGCAACAAACTATTCCTTTTAAAACATGAATTATGTAGAAAGTTGAATTAGTACTATATAAATTTATAAATAGTCATCTAGTTCTAAAAAAAAAAAAAAAAAAGAAATTCCCTATTTGTACTCACTCTCCTGCTCCTGAAGGGTATGAGCAAGTGTATGATCTTCCAGTACTCCAAAGTCTCGAACCACTATGAAATAAAGAGAAACAAACTGGGTTAACGTACTCATGAAAAAAATAAAATATATATATATATATATATATATCTTTAGGAACATGCAATTGAACAGATTACCTCTGGAAGTATAAAAGTAAAAACTTTAAAAATAAATGTTACATAAAATATAAATATATAGTGAAATTAGGATGGCACACCTGACAGTCTAAAGTGCTTCAGGGCACATTGCTCTTATCTTTGTGCCTAGATATCCAACTTTATTTTGACATGTTGAAGTTAGGCTGGCTTAAAACAGTTGCCTTATCACCTTGTTAGATCTATACTTTACAATAAAAAAAAAAAAAAATATGTAGTTATATATCTAGCTGCAGGCATTCTAAATAAATAAATATCTTCATGGATAAAAAATGGACAATAGGACAAACTGTTTAGGAATAATATACCCAACAGATTCACCAGACCAATCCGCAACATGTCTTATCGCTGACAATTTAATATTTTTATCTGCACAGTGGAATTAGTGTAGGACCCACCGATATTGGGGTACTGTGAAGTAGATGTGAGCTTAACACAATATGGCCATATGGTGGAACTGAATCCCCATATGTTTATATGTGATTTTAAGTAGCCTTATAAAATGTAAGATGGTGTTTTAATGTGCACGCTGTTCCTTATTCCGTATTATGTATATCTTTTGGCCACTGTGGCAACACATTCCTGCGAAACACATGTTCCGGGTGTGTCAAACACACAAGTTATCCTTTATTTCCCTATTTTTTTTTACTATGTTCCTTTCAAATATCTCAATCACTAATCGGCATTTATTCTTGTCATTTTCTCCCACCTTGCCCCTATTGGTAAAGCTAGAGGCAAATAAAATACATAAATTAACCCAAAGCAAAAAAATTACCACTCGCCCCTCGCCCACTACCCATAGTCAAATTAAAAGCCAGATCTGGTTAGCAGAAGTTAAACAAAAGTGTGCCATAGACCCTCTAGCCTGGCAGTGGCGAGTAATATGAAGGACTGTTTAGTAGCGTAGGAATTACAATTTTAAGTTCTGACTTAAGCTATTGTCTTTATTCTTTTGATTTCCATTTTTAGAACTTACTATTTAAAAGAAAACATAAATGATGTGTTGTTAGAGACTATCAAGCATCGTTCCAGCATCCCATGTTTTTCATAGAAGAGCAGTGAATTAAAAGCGTTCCTAAGAGCTTAAATGTCACATGACCAAGTGTTACTCTGTCAGGGCGGTAGAAGCGCCTCTATTCCAGACCACTTCATTGAGATTGAGACTTTCATAATAATCTAAGGCTTGGCTAGTAGATTAAAAATAAGCATTTCTGTTATTAAGAAAAATCTAAAAAAAAAAAAAACTAAAAAAAAAACAAAACACACAAATGCACACTGTAGCGGAGCTGCAATATTAAATCCCAATATATACGCTGGTACAGAAAGTAATCCAAGTAAAGCGCTGAAAATGAAGGTAATATCCCAAATCCCCCAGTAACCGGACGAAACACAGTTCTGGGAGTCAACTGACGATTTTATTCACAGCTCCAGTATTTATGTGGTTCCCCATGCAAGGGGTTTCCTTAATCACTTTACAGGGGTTATACAGTAGAGGACTACATGGGGAACTGAATATGCAGGACATTTCTCCCACCATGCACTGCTGTACGAGAGGGATACTCCCACAAGGATATCCTGTTAAGTGGACTATCCCCCCGTACAGCAGAACCAGCTTTTCACACAAAAATCAGTAACTTATATTTTATTCGTGCTATTGTACCGAATGACCATTCAGCAGATAGCTGGGGTCTGAGCGCACACTTTGTGAAAGTACCGCTCAGATCCCAGCATAAATAACCAAATGCCGCACGAAACACACTTTAATATACATTCATCAAAAAAGTCCTGAATACATAATTGAGGAAAAGTACCGAAAGACCGGCGCTCCCGAACGGCCTGGAAGTCCAGCGGTGTTCGCGCCATCGAGTATCCGATTTTAGTTCCAGGCACTCGATGACCAAACACCGCTGGGCAAAAGGAGAATCCGGATGGCCGCCGCCTCGTGGTCGGTAGCCGAACGACGGCCATCCGGGAAATCAAATAGCAGCCAATTGCTACAATGTTGCAATCTGTTAATGGGAGCCACACGACCCTCTGTGTGTGGGCTCCCATTCGGTACTTTATTCGTTTCACGAACAGTGTGGAAAGTCACTGTTCGTGAAACTACCATATAAATGCAAGAGGCTTTCAGCCGTTAGCATACAAATGTTCTTTATTACAGATAGAGACAAATACATAAACTAACAGAATTGAACCAGCTTTTCTAGGACAACCTGTAGACATATAATAACATAAACTGAAGTGGCTAGGTTTGCCACACACACCATTTGACGGATTATCAGATTTCAAGAAACATCCCTGAATATTACTACTTATGGTGTCACTGAATATGCAAATTAGTGCACATTGATGCACTATGATTTAAAGATATTTAAAGAATGGTATGCAAAGCTCACTTTAAGTGCAGCATAATACAGCTCATCTTTGGCTGTCTTGGACTACATTCCTACTATGCTCGTCAGTGTCCAAAAGAGCTGTGTGCCAAATGTTATTGATCATTAGTAAAGACTGCAACATATACATGTTTGTCCATCCTCCCCCCCATGATATGAGTAGCAGAGAATTCCCTGGAGTACTGCGGAATGTGGAGACTTTTTTATTTTTTAAACAGCTGGTACCAATGTGTGAAAACAACCAATGATTTTTTTAAAGAATTTAAAATTGGTGTTCAAATGTTCCTGAAATCAACTGTATAGAGAGAAAACAAAAACCCCAGGCATTAAAAGAGTTTAAAAAATGTGTGGAGAAAAAAAAGACAAACAAAAAAAAACAAACTACATCTAACCCCTCCACACAAGGGGCCCCTTTTAAAACAAAACACAATAGACAGTGAGAGAGCACAATAACTTTTTTTACACTACAAATAAAGTCCTGTAACAGCAGAAAAAACATTGAATCTGCCAGAACATGCCATATACACTACTAAATAGTCATTACTGATGAGGTTATTATTGGCAGCATAATGTAGGTTTCCATTAATAAAAAGAGAGACATGTTTGTTCACAGAGAGAGAAGGCACATGTAATGCAGAAAGACCATCTCTTGATTCCACACAGTCCTGTCACCAGGCTCATATGCAATGTCTAGACACAAACAAACAAAAAGAATATATATACATATATATGTAACGTTTAAATTTTGATGTTGGAGTACATCTATATGTCAGATCATATACAAGTATGAAGTGCCATTTACATTAGGTGGAGCTTCATACCAGATGTTAGTTATTGTGCCTGTGGATATATGAGATATCTTCTTGTACTCTATTTCCACTATATAGTACTCTACTTGCACTCACCAAGACAGAACACAGAGCAGAATATAGGAACAGCTTATAGTGTAGTACATAAGGCAGTTTGGGATAATAATGTAAGTGTATAATCTATGCACTCACATGTAGTAGAGCCTTGAGTAGCTCCAGTAAATCAACAAACAGTGGTACAATCCCTATTCGCTTTTTTCACTCAAGCGTAGTCCGTGGTATCATGTGAAAACAGGACAAAAAAATGTAGTGCTCTACATAGACAAAAATCACACACATATATATATATATATATAAATAGTTTTAACAATCTCTAAGTATTGCTCAATCCTTAGTGCTTTACTGGATAATATTCCCATTATGGATATAACTTGAAAAAAGTGTTCACAGATGAGAATGCATCCTGAAGGAAGGATAAAAGGAGGGAACTTTATTACTATGAAAACAATAAAATAGTAAAACATAATTATTGGTAGTTATATAATGCCAACTTATTCTGCAGCGCTTTACAATAAGAGGGGAAACTTTACCAAATGAGACAAGAACAAAATGTAACCGGAACAATAGGGAGTTGAGGACCCTGCTCAACATAAAAAGACTAATGTGTTACACTAGCTCTTTTGTGTGATCAGACCAAATGGGCTAGCCTTCGCTACCCACGTACATCAACGAGACTTGGGTACCTATGATCCTGACACAGGCTCTCCAGTTGTCATTCCTTGCACCACTTTTGATAGGTACTAACCCCTGTATACCAGGGACATCCCACAAGACTTGCCATTTTGGAGATGCTCTGACCCAGTCATCTACCCATCACTATTTGACTTGTCAAAGTCACTCAGATCTTTTCACTTGCCCATTTTTCCTTCCAGCACATGTATCCCACCCCTTGACAGGAGCCACTGTAATGATATTACCAATGTTATTCACTTCACATGTCAGTGGTTTTAATGTTTTAGCAGATCAGATGAGTAAATGCCTATTGCTAGAATATTTTGTGAGCAGAGTTTAATCCATGCTCACACCAGGGAGACCCAGATATCAGTCCACACTTGGGTCTCCCTTCTTTCAGCTGTAGCTCCAGACTGATCAATGGTCTGTATGCAGCACTCAAATTAAGTGCTGAATACAGCCCTTCAAATTAAATTTAGAATACCGTGGCTGAGCAATCTTGCATATAGGATTTTATAACAAGACACGGAGGCTCATATTGCATATCCCTTTCTTTACTGTCCATCAATAGCAACAAAGAATACAAAACAGTAAGAAAAATGGCATACATAGTGATAAGCTACTCCCATACCAAGTCCCAGTATAATAGTCAGTAGCTCCCTACACATTTCCTCTTTTTGTGCTGCTCCACAGTCAGTTAAGTACCATTTATTTTGTCTCTTGAGGCTTTGGTTGTACTGTTTTTTGTGTACTTGTGATTATATGTCTGGGGAATTTACTTTAAATTAGCCCTTGGGTTTACTTTGTAAGGACTGTTTGTGTACCTGTTTTATTGTGTATTTACTTGGTTCTGTGCTCAGGGTCCCAAACCAGCTGGGGTTTTGTTCCTCTTCTCACTTGGGGATCCCCCCCACCTTTTTTTTCCTTTCTGCTTCCTGGTCTGTATTTTTCTCTGACTTTACTTGCAGGGGTGCTTGGGTCTAGCCCACTGTACCTGGCCCTGTGGCCTTTTCGGCATCCTTTTTTGTTGTGTTTTGTGCCCCCGTTCGGCACTCTTTGTGTCATTGTGGTATCAGACGTTCAGGAGTTCGCAATCGAACACCCGTTCGCCTGTTTTACTCGTGATTTGGGCCACGAATGTTGTTCATTTGCTGGTTCTTTCATATCCGATCAATCGTTCGCTAACGCTTATGCGGGTTGTCTCCGATGCGTGCGGCTCGCAAACGCACCTTGGTCGCGATACAAATTTTCTCCATTTGGGAGTTTTTTCTCCTTGCGTAATTGCGGGTTTTTCACCGCGATCTGGTGATTTTCACAGCTTTTTCATTCCGGTTTCCGCTTGTATGTGGATAAGTGCAAGATAATGCATCTTGGACGTAAAAACCCAAGTGCAGAGTACAGAATATTTGATAGAGTCCTAACCTCAACATATGAGGAAAGGGATTTAGGGGTGACTATTTCTGATGACTTAAAGGTAGGCAGACAATGTAATAGAGCAGCAGGAAATGCTAGCAGAATGCTTGGTTGTATAGGGACAGGTATTAGCAGTAGAAAGAGGGAAGTGCTCATGCCATTGTACAGAACACTGGTGAGACCTCACTTGGAGTATTGTACACAGTACTGGAGACCGTATCTTCAGAAGGATATTGATACCTTAGAGAGGGTTCAGAGAAGGGCTACTAAACTGGTTCATGGATTGCGGGATAAAACTTACCAGGAAAGGTTAAAGGATCTTAACATGTATAGCTTGGAGGAAAGACGAGACAGGGGGGATATGATAGAAACATTTAAATATATAAAGGGAATCAACACAGTAAAGGAGGAGACTATATTTAAAAGAAGAAAAACTACCACAACAAGAGGACATAGTCTTAAATTAGAGGGACAAAGGTTTAAAAATAATATCAGGAAGTATTACTTTACTGAGAGGGTAGTGGATGCATGGAATAGCCTTCCAGCTGAAGTGGTAGAGGTTAACACAGTAAAGGAGTTTAAGCATGCGTGGGATAGGCATAAGGCTATCCTAACTATAAGATAAGACTAGGGACTAATGAAAGTATTTAGAAAATTGGGCAGACTAGATGGGCCGAATGGTTCTTATCTGCCGTCACATTCTATGTTTCTATGTTTCTATCCTCCTCCTGCTGCCTGGTGTCTCTTGCTGCTGGTCTGGGCCCTGGTGAGCTCCTTTCTGTCGTGCTAGTTTGGGTGACTAACCCTCACGGTTTCCTTCATTTTCCCCTGACAGCATTCCTATTGCATTAACTTTTCTGTATCAGTATATTTTGTGGGTCTTAGATCAGTTTAGACATGCCTAAGCCAAAGGTCCCTGTATGACCATCTATCCCTGGAGACTTGGACACCCCTCTACTGTTGGTTGAGGCCCCATCTACGGCTGGCTTCCCCCCACCCCTCGGCAGGGGACCCCGATCCCTGCAGGAAGGACGCTCATTTATTGGCGCTCCAGAGGTCTGTGACTGACGCCATTATGGTCGCGATGGGCACTATGTCCTCGGCCTTGTCCCTGGTCTCTCTTCGGCGCCTTGGTGCTTCCCCAGGCTGCTATGTCCAGCTATGTCCTGGCTCTGCAGTCTGGGTGTTCGTTTATCTGTACGATATTCTGATCTGCGATGGACGGTGGATCTGCTGACCTGACCGGCTTTTCTCATCAATTGGGAGAATTCTTGTTCGACACCATCCAGACGCATGGAATTCTTGGGCTTCCTTGTGAACTCTGAGTAGGACTCATTGAGCCTGCCTGTGTGAAAAGTTCAGACAATCTACAAGGAGCTTCGCAGGGCACTTACCCGACCGCATCTCACCCTGCGTCACTTGGCAAAATTGATTGGACTGTTGGCATAGTCGATCCAGGCAGTGTTCCCAGCTCCTCTTCACTATTGAGCTTTCCAGCGGTTGAAGATTGCACATCTTCGCTAGGGAGCACCATATGTGGACCTGATATCACTAGACAGGGAAACGAAAGACGAATTGCCTTGGTGGATTCACAATCTAAGTGCATAAAACGGTAGGGCCATATTCGGATCTCAGCAGGCGTTCACCATAGACACAGATGCAAGCCTCCATGGCTGGGGCAACCAATGGGAAGGGGTGTCCACAGAAGGGCGCTAGTCGGAGAGAGAATCCAGAATGCACATCAATGCTCTGGAGCTTCTAGCGGGATCCTTTGCGATTCAGAGTTTTGCGAAGGGGACAATGTCTGCATTCGCCTACGCGTAGACAACATATCAGCAGTTTGATATGTCAACCACACGGGCGGCACCCAGTCGGCACTGTTGGCTCGCTTGGCAATGGACTTCTGGAAGTTTTGTCTAGCACGGAATCTGGTGGTCCAGGCAGAATACCTACTGGGCCTGCACAATGTTCAGGCGGATTGGAACTCACATTATCTCTCGGACAGCACGATTGGAGATTGGATGTAGAGGTGTTCTGCACTATTTTGTCCCTTTGGGATCCCTTTATCATAGACCTATTTGCATCAACACCCAGCTACCCAGTTTCTTCAGCTGGCATCTAGACCCAGCCGCAGAGGTGGTGGATGCTTTCCTGCAGGATTGCCATTGACCTCTTATCTACGCTTTCCATTTTTCATTCATTTGCTTCCCAGGACACTGCTTCAGGTTCACCACAAAGTGGCGGAGTTGGATCTCTTAATCCTATTCTGGGGGACTCCGTCGCAGTTCCCTCAACTGCTGGAGTTGGCAATAAATGTCCCCAGGTTATCGCGATACGTCCGGACCTACTTCAGAACCCAGCAGGACATCACCATCCTCTCCTACTGGAAGGATCCCTCCTGTTGAGGGCTTGCCGGAATTCAGGGGACCCTGACAGATCTCAGGAGTTTCGGGCACAACTCGGCGCCTCTTGGTGGATGCATGGGCTCCTGGAACTCAAAGATCATATGGGTCATGATAGAGATCTTGGGCTGGCTGGTGCCTGGATCCCCTTTCAGCGCCTGTAATGGCAATTCTCCAATTGCTCACGTCTCTATTTGAAGCTGGATGGGCCTACCGAACAATAAATGTAGGCAAGTCAGCCATTTCTTCAGCCCATCAGGGTTTCGAGGGTTGTCCGGTAGGACAACATTCCTTAGTATACCGGCTTCTTCGTAACTCCTGCGTATCTCGCCTACCTTGACTGCGATGCTCTTCTATGTGGGATGTCTCCATAGTGCTATCATTGTTTGTCTCATGGCCCTCTAATGCAGACCTTTCCTTGCGCCAATTATTGGCAAAATTGGTGACACTGCTTTGCCTGGTATCCTGTAAGAGGGTTTCGGATGTTAGTGCCTTGGATTTCGATGCTCGCTTCTTCACTCCCAACTGGGTGACTTAATATATCCAGACGCACAAAGACTTTGATTCGATTGGTTTCTTATGCAACCTTGCCTTCAGCTCCAGCATTGCGTCTGGTGGCTTGTTTACAGGAATATGAGATTCGCACTGAGCCGCATCGGTCGCCATCTTTTTCTATCCCTTCGACTTCCTTTTTCCCCGGTGACTAGTACTACCATGGCTCATTGGTTGAGGTTGGGTGTTGCAACAGGCATGTGTCGACACTTCGGTGTTTGGAGTCCATTCTGTCCGGGGTGCTTCGGCCTCGTCGATGAGGACCTCAGGAGCACAGTTGGAGGATCTGATGAGGACCGCGTACTGGTCTTAGAAATCTACTTTCCGTGAATTTTATTTTTGACCGGTGACTCGTTTTTTCTACGGTTGTTAGTCAGCTTTGAACTTGCAGTATGAGCCTCTGTCTTGTTATAAAATTACATGATTTTGCCATTACATGACGAAAAGTCATGATTTTATTAATGATACGGAGGTAAGTATTGTCCCACCCTAGATACACTTCTGTCTTGGTTTACATATTCCCTTCCTGGTAAGTTTATGTTTGGATAAGGTTTATATTAAGGTTAGTGGGGATATTATTGCTATAGCCTTTTTGGTCAGTATACATTTTGTATTGTTCTTAGGTCTCCTGATTGTCTGATAAAAGTTGCAAGGACTGAAATAACCATGTGGCTCCTGTCTATGTTTTCACAGCCTAATTCGGACTGGTTTGATGGACTCCAACTGATTATCGTATAATGGAATCATCTAAGTTGGCGATTTCTTGTTTCCTGTGATGGATTTGTCCCAATTCATTGGATTGTTACCTGGTTGGACTCCTGGTTGTCTTTAATAAAATCATGACTTTTTGTCATGTAATATCAAAATCGGTAATTGGCATGTGCTCATGGAAAAAGTCCAGCATGTACCCTGGATTAGCACTTTTATTGCTTTTACTTTATGTAAGGTCCTTTGGGAGTTGGCCTTAGAGAGGCAGCATCCACCTAGCACTCACCAAAGTCGTTCCTATTGTTAGCCCCATGACGATTGTGAATGGGGCTGGGTTATGCCAGTTGCCCAATACCTATCAGAGTGTAATCATCAAGCCTGAGTTTCAACGCTTCATGGATCTCATTGTAATACTGAAAACGGTCTGTAGACGGCCGTCGCAGACCTATCTACAGTTTTAACGAATAAACCCATCTGCTGATATCAGAAACCACTGGCCACCAGGGACAGGATTCACTCCAGCGCTCCAAGAGCAAAGTAGGGAGGCTGGGTGGACCTCTTAATTACAAAATGTGGGTTTATGAATTGTGATTTTTGTGTGTGTATTTCAATAATTATGTATGTGATTGTGTGTTTTCGATTGTGTTTGTGGTGTTTGTGTTTAGCTGTAATTTTCCTCTCTCATTTACTGTTCCCGTACAAATTATATTTTTTTTTTCCAGGACAAAAGGGGCTTTCTTTACATACCATTATTTATATAATCTCGTGTAATTTAATTTAAAAAAAATAAAAAATGATGAAAAATTGAAAAAAACATGTTTTTCGACTTTTACTTGAAAAATATTTTACTCATCTACAAAAGCGAATGAAAAAAACTGCTAAATAGATTCTAAATTTTGTCCTGAGTTTAAAAATACCCAGTGTTTATGGGCTTTTTTTTGCAAGTTATAGGGCTATAGGTACAAGTAGGATATTGTGGTTTCAAAACATACATTTTTTAAATTTATCAATAGTGACACTAGTAACACTTATCTATCATAAATCTCTGAATAACACCCCACATGTACATATTTTTTTAAAAGTAAACAACCCAGGGTATTCAATATGGGGTATGTCCAGTCTTTGTTAGTAGCCGCTTAGTCAAAAACACTGGCCAAAGTTAGCATTCATTTTTGTTTGTGTGTGAAAAAAGTAAAAAACTAAATAGAACGCTAATTTTGGCCAGTGTTTGTGACTAAGTGGCTACTAAAAAAGACTGGACATACCCCATTTGCAATACTTTGGGTTGTCTTCTTTTGCAAATGGTATGCCGTCATGGCGGTAATTCTCATGCCTGGGCTACCATACTCTCTCAAAGGCAACGTAACCAACCTGGCCTTTTTCAATGTAAAAATATTTGACCCATATATTTGACCCTGTAACTTTCAAAAATGCTATAAAACCTGTACATTGGGCTACTGTTATACTTGGGAGACTTTGCTGAACACAAATATTAGTGTTTCAAAACAGGAAAACGTATCACAACAATTATATCATCAGTAAAAGTGCTGTGTGTGTGTGAAAAATGCAAGAAAAAGTCACTTTCACTGACAATATCATCACTGTGATATGTTTTACTGTTTTGAATCACTAATATTTGTGTTTAGCGAAGTCTCCCGAGTAAAACAGTACCCCCCATGTACAGGTTTTAGGGTGTCATAGAAAGTTACAGGGTCCAGGGTAAAATACAGTGCTAGCAAATTAAATTCTTTGGACTTTCGGCCTGGGTTGTCAGGCAGGTCCCTCAAATTGCAATCAATAACATTACTTAATTATGTAAAAATATTACATAAATACGCACGTAGAATTTAAATATATATGCATATTTATATATTTGAAGTCTACGTGTATATTTATATAATTAATGTAATTTTGTATATGGACATATGTATATTTCGTATTTTTATTTATATATACACAATTTCATTCTAAGTGTATTTTGAGATATATATATATATATATATATATATATATATATTACGATCATAATACAGTTAGAATAAAATTTCACATAGATATATTTTTTTAATTATTTTTACATGTTTTTATTTAATTTAAATTACTTATTTGTATTTTATAATATTTATATACAATATATAATTAATTATATATATATATATATATATATATACACATACACACACACACACACATACATACATACACACACACACACACATATAATTTTTTATTTTTTTTATTAACACTTTTTTTATTAGCACAGGCAGTCCCCCAGCAGGCATACACATGGACACCTATTGTGACCACGTGATCGCTCTGTTGAGTGATCACATGGCCCCAATCCGCCATGGGGAGACTGTCTGGGCTGCAGGCAGTCTCCCCACAATGGGAGCAACACTAATCGCTGCCGGGGGAACGACGGCGATCGGTTAAGTACATTGGACCATTAGGATGGTTCAGAACCGTCACCGGTCGGCAATGCAAAAATGCCGATGACTGTCCTGAACCGTCCTCGGTCCTGAAGGGGTTAAATATGGCAATCTCACGTAAGGATAACAAACAAGGGAGCTACCTACTAAACAAATGAAATACCAAAATTAAGAAAAGGGCTTTTGAGGTTTTATTATATTATTTATAATACAACCTCAAAGGCCTCACAAGGCTTTCCTGTGGGAAAGCATTTGGTTGGTTGAAATCATCGATCTTTATGTTTTCAGCTAAGGCGGTGGAGTTTCCCCATGGAGACCAAAAGTTTGTATTTGTACACATTTGTATTCCTAACGCTATAGTGTTCTATTAAGATGCATTCACCATATTTATGTGTCTACTGCAGGAGATGTAATCTGATCACATGGCCATTTGGAGTTTAGGACTTTGGACAATCACGTAATCAGCCAAAATTTGTAAGAATTGGAACTTAAGATTAAATCTCCCAGTCTGGCAATGTCTATTTTATCTCAAAAACCACAAGACTTTCTCAATCTTGTGTTTTTGAGCCAAAGTTTTGCTTAAAATGTAATCATATCTTGGATGTCCAAAATATTAAAAAAAAAAAAAAAAGACAGCACACTATATTTTAATTTCTGATTTTTGTAGAACAATTTACAAATGTTTAGTCATGCAATAGAGTCTTTAAATGAAAACTAAAGTGTAAGGAATACATGTCCTGACTCCTGACCCCCCCCCCCAAATGAGGGTTTGAAAGGAGAGTTTTACTTGCTATCTCCACGATAGCACTCTGCCTCTTTGAGTGTAAATGATCTCATTGCCTGGCCAGTACACATGACAAAGTGCTGCACTGCTCCAATCCAAAGGCTACAGGGATGGAAGACATGCACTAATGGCATGTTAACCCCTTCAGGACGGAGTCAATAGTACACTTTCTGATCAAAACAAAATGTAAAGAAAAACTGGAATTTGCGCTATATGTCAGTTCAACCGTAATTCACATCTTTCATATTAAGTACACCCACACTTATTATATATCATTTTGTTCAGGAGAAACAGGGCTTTCATTTTATATCAAATATTTATATATGAAACATAATTTATTATGAATAAAATAAAAAAAAAACTGAGAAATGTACTTTTTTTTTTAAACATTTGTAGTTCCGCCTCATATTTTAGCTGTAAATGTCATAATACTGTTAGCTTTTACTGCAAAAAAAGCACATATTTGGATTCAGCAAATCCCGGGGGCCTCATTTGCCGGGGGAGGGCTGCCTGGGCGGTCAGGCAGCCCTCCAGAAGAGGATCGCGGCGGCGGTAATTACCTCCGATCTCCTGAGGGCTTCAGCCGTTACGGCATTCTATGCCGCCGCAACGGCTTTAAAGCCCATTTAATGCGGGACGGCATCGAACGCCATAACGGTGTTAAGGGGTTAACTTGCAATGTAAACATTTCCATTCCTACAAAATGGCAATGTTTTACATGGCAGGGTTAAACAGACAGGGACATGACACCCAAACCGAGTGATCTGGGTGCCTATAGTGTCCCTTTTAAATTGTGCTAGCCAAAGGGCTGGTAAATTTATACATGATACCTTTGAGACAACTTGCTCCTACACCAGACCAGCATGCTTTGCAATCGGTCTCAGACCACACAGCAGTACTATAGAATATCTTTGTGTAGCTACTCTGTGTATTAAGAAACAAAAGGGGACGCATTATATATACTTGAATAAAATGACAGGAAATATTGGAGAGAAACTACTTTAAAGGTGCATGTACGTCATGGAAAAGCATGTTGCAGAATTAAACTAACGTGGCTCATTTCTCAGTTTGATGTAAAAGCATCTGTAGTTTTTTAATGGATGAAAGGATCTCAGCCAACACTATGCTTCCTATTTAGAATATGGCAAACACATTCCTTGCTGCTCTACAGAGCTGCACATTTTGTAAATGAAAAATTTAACTGGATTTCCCTGATATGCTTGTTTAAAAGAGCAAGTGAAACCAACAAAAGAAAAAAAGTTAAATAAACATGCTTCTCCTTCTCTTAAAAAACATTGTTTCTATTACTGTAGTCAATTTTTGTATGTTAGTAGGTTTAGACATATCAGTACACAGATCATAAAGTAGATTAAATGCATGATGAAATGGAGGAATTATAATAATAATAATATAGAGAAGGGTGTGGAACAAGATTCCAGTAAATATATATGCTTGCCATCACTATAAATTGTTCTTAAAGGAAAACTATATAGTGTTAGGAATACAAAACTGTATTTCTAACAATATAGTGCCCTCTGGGACAGTCATCTCCCTCACAGCCCCCTTCCACCCATAGGCATTTAAAAGGTCAAAACAAAAACACATTTTTACACTTACCCAATTCCAGCGGTGAGGTCACGCTTCTCCTCTGCCATGAGCCAATATGGGGGGGGGGGGGAAGAGAGGGTGGGAATGCACATGCGCGGCGTGCACATTAGGCCTACCTTACAGGAAAGAATTGCCTGAATACTTTCCTACAGGGATTTTCAAGACAAAGCGTGAGGACATCTAGCGTTATTTCACAGAGTCAAACTCTGAATTTCCAGGTAGTGCCTCAAATCACTGTCCGGTAGATGGCCACTAGAGGCAGTCTTAATCCTTTAATGTAAACATTGCAGTTTCTGGAAAACTGCAATGTTTAACATTACATGATTAAAAGAACAGGGACACTGCACCCAGACTACTTTATGTCAACAGAGGGAGAAAATTCAATCATTACTTACCGTAAATGTATTTTTCCTAAGGATTAAAGGCAATACACTACACATGGGATATACTTTAGTCTGGACAGAAAAGGCAGGCAAACACTTAAAATTTTAATGGTTAGGCTCCTCCTCCCATAGGTATAACTCAGAGAACTCCAAGCCACAACCCCAGAAAATACACAAGCCAAGTAATTGCAAAATATATTTAATAACCAAGGTTGGAAATACGTGCACTGCCTCCAATCCTTAAGAAAAAGAAATTTACGGTAAGTAAAATTAGAATTTTTCCCTCCAGATTAGAGGCAGTGCACTACACATAGGATAAACAAGCAATCCCTTAAGGGCGGAAAGTCATAACACCACAGCCTATAATACTTTACGCCCAAAAACAGAATTCACAGATGCCAATAAGTCCAACCAAAAACCGTTTAGAGAAAGCATGAAGATACCACCAGGCAGCAGCTTTGCAAATCCTTGAACGAGTAGTGGAAGCCCGAAAGCTCCCAAAGCAGCAACAGCCATTGCAGGATGCGCCTGTAAATGCAGAGGAGGAGGAACATTAGAAGAACACCTGCACAACAGTTAAATTGCTTCCTTAAACCATTTTGTTAAGACCTTTTGGATGCCAGAAGATCCTTCTTCAGTCCTTAAAGAAGGAGAATCAGAATGACGAAAAAAGGCTGGTCTTGTACAGGTAATACTGCAGAGTGTTACACATGTAGGCCTTGAAACTTTCTTTCTGTAGTGTTCCAAGGAAATAGGCAAAATGGTGGAAGTCCAATTCCCTGAATTATATAAGATGTAGAAGAAACTTTTGGAAGAAAGGGAAGGATGAAGAATAAGGACCACTTTATCCAAATTAAACATTAAATGAGGAGGAGACGAAGCCAAGGCCTTAAGTTCCCTCAGATGTTTAGCTACCACAGGACTGTCTTACACGGAATATCTTAAGACAACAGGAATCCAAGGGCTCCAATGGAGCATCACAGAAGGCTGAAATGACCCAAATTCAAATCCCAAGGAGGAACCAATTTCCTGATGGGGAAAAATAAATGCCAGGTGAAAATCCATTGCAAAACCAGTGCCTTGGGGAAATAAAAAAAAAAATGGGTTTACTGCTAGATGGAGAGAAGCAATTCTGTAAATCTTTTAGTTTGCTTTTTGAAGCCAACAGAACTATCTCCAGTCTACCAAATCTCTCTGCTATATTTGAAAAAGCTGGTGAGAGAGAGACCAGTCTTCTTGTTAAAAAAGAGAGCGTTGGCTTAGCGTATTGGTTTTTCCTCTTATGTGGACCTTAGAATTTGATAGCAGATGAAGGTCTGACCAGATAATGATCCTGGCGCAAAAATGTTCCAGGAGCAGAGAATGAGTCCCTCTCTGTTGATACACATCCACAACTGCTGTTGAATTGTCCATTCTTAACTGCAAGTGTTGTCCCTGGAGGCATGGCCTGAAGAACAAAACAACTAACCAAATAGCTTCAGCTCCCTTAGGTGGATTTCTTTGAATCTTTATGCCTCCATTTTCATTCCATCAACTGGGTACACAGATGAGCTTCATAGCCAAATATGAAAGTGTCCGTGTGATTATCACAAAACTGTACAATTGAAAAGACAGATACTTTGTAAGGAACTGAGATGTTGTACACCAAGGAAACTCCGTAAAGTCAAAGACTCTAGTCTCATCAAGTGGTTTAGAAAGACGTATCCATTTTTTTTCTGCAATGGGCTCATTTTTGCCTTGGACCATCTAACTGATAGATTTGCTGCTGCTGTAAAGAGACCTATGGAACAGATGTCTGAGATTAGTGCCCACAAGAGTTGCCAATGGAATATTTCCTTTTTTTCTATGGGCAGAAAAAAACATCCATCTGAATAAATAATGGTAAATATATATACACATACATACATACATACATACATACACACACACACACACACACACACACACACACACACACACACACACAGAAAAGCATCCGTCAGATCGCATGAGTTCAGCCAGAAACCTGTTTGAAAAAAAGTGAGTGTCAGAAAGTAAGATTTCCCTGCAACACTTCTTTACGACTATAAATCTGTTCTTAGATGCAGGATAAGCCTGTAAGTTCTCTGTACTATTTTTCAGTTTTACCCTCACTTCTCTCATTACTATCACTATACCCATCTACCCTTTCTCCTCCAACTCCTTCTGAAACCTCAAAATACAAGCATTCAAATCTTACTCCCATCTTCTCTTAATTTCTATGCTTCTGCTCCTGGCAGCTGGCGATGTCTCTCCAAACCGTAATCTCGCCTCTACTGTAACAGATGCCCTGTTCCTAGAGATTATGTTTGCTTTGCCTGGATCGGTATACGAACCCAAATGAAGAGATTTTCCCCAGCTGGTTCGTATACCAAATAATATACCGAACATTTGGACCACCCAGAGCAGTCGTGTGCCGCCAATTGACCCAACTGACCTTACTAACACTTGCTCTAACCACAACACTGAACGTTCTATGCACAGACATGGGGCCTCTTGTTTTGTCGAACGCGCCCAGTGGTGTTTGGAACTATTTTCGGACACTCAGCTGCCTGAACACCGCTGAGACTTCCAGGATCACCTATGTTCATTCAAAGTCATCCAAAAGAGGCAGCGTTCGGTGAAAACCAACTTCCGAATGAGGGGCACACGACTAGCTTTCCCAAGAACAGTTATTTGTGACATTTCGTGTAATTGAAGCTCCCGAAAGACTGGCCGCACAACTTGAACTCTATAGAACTATTCTGGACTGGAGCCTTGTGTGCGATCGGTCAGAAAGAAGACTTCCATGGAACTCCCGAAACCCTGAACCGTTCTGGGTGATTTTTAGATATGTTGCTCACCCAGATCGGGGCAATCAGGAGATATACTTTTTGTGGGGTTTATATGAGTTTTTCGGGTACTTTCATATTGTCTGTAAATTATGTTCCTTTTCACCTGGAAATAATTGAGTTGATACAGTAATTGACTCAATTATCTTCCAGGCAGAGGGGATGGATTGTATGCTATGGGTGGGAGTGTCATACAGTATAACCCTGTTGTTATTGGTTTAATTTTGTATTGTAGTCCCCAACAAGGTCCATCTGGGAATGCCCCCTGCATGGGAACTGTCATAAAAGGCCAAGTGTGACACCATTAAAATCAGTCCAGCTTTACCCTCAACATAGATCCTCGCCTCGCGTTTGTAGGGACCTGCTATACAAGCTATAACCACTAGCTCTTATCAGAGCTTCACAGCTATACCTACTTTTTCACCGCTTGGATTGATGCTTGGGGATATTTCAGCACTTTATACTCTAGGGAGAAAGGACATCTCTGGCGCTGGAAACCCCTCCACTAGCGGGGTGGCCGATACATCTACCTACCTACCTACCTTGTGTCCAACCCAGAAACCTCTCCAATCTTATAACAAAATAACTAACCAAATAGCTTCAGCTAACTTAGGTGGATTTCTTTGAATCTTTATGCCTCCATTTTCATTCCATCAACTGGGTACAGTTGTAACTCTCCCTTTAAGCCCTACTTCCATTCTGCCCTCTGGAATGCACGCTCTGTGTGCAACATAACTAAATCTACTTCTACCCATGACTTATTCACCTCACACTCTCTAAACTTACTTTCTATAACGGAAACTTGGCTCTCTCCTTCTGACACAGCTGCCCCTGCCTTATTATTCTATGGTCATCTACAATTTACGCACCACACAAGACAAAATGGTAGTGTAGTGTTTCTCCTTTCTCCCCACTGCTCCTTCCAACCTCTACCCACCCCCTTCTCTGCCTTTAAAATTCACTCAATTCACTTATTCAAACCCATATCTGCAAACATTGCAGTTATCGGCCCCCAGGTTATCCGGGTCTCTTCCTTGACAATTTTGCTGCCTGGCTACCTTACTTCCTCTCAAGCAATATCTCATCCCTAATTCTAGGGGAATTCAAAATTCCCATTAACCCACCCTTGTCCTCAGTAGCCTCAAAACTCATTTCAATCACCTCCTCCTTTGGGCTGTCACAATGGCTAATTCTCCCACACATGTAGCGGGCAATACCGTAGATTTTATTTTTTCAAATGCATGCTAAGTCTCCAATCTCTAATACTACATTTCCTCTATCAGGCCACCACCTACCATCATTTGTTCTTGAGTGTCCCCACAACCCATGAGAAATCTGAATTCTCTCGACCTCCAGCAACTCTCAGCTGATCTTCATTCCAAACTCTCATCCATCCCTACCTTCTTCTGTCTCTCTCTGGCAATCTCCTCATCTAATGCTACCCTCGATGCTGCAGCCCTGCTCCAAGCATGCTCCTCAAGGACGGCGCGCGTCCAACCATGGCACACTAAGTCAGCCTGCCACCTGCAGAGATGCTCCTGTTCACCTGAATGCTGCTGGAGGAAGTCTCGCACCTTGTTGGACTTTCTACACTACATACAGTGCAGCCCTCACCCTTGCTAAACAGTCCTTCTTTTCTTCTCTCATAAGTTCATGCTCCAGTAATCCTAGGAATCTCTTTAATACTTTTAACTCTCTTCTTTGTCCTGTTGTGGCTACCCCACAAACTAATCTTTTAGCGGATAGCTTTGCATGTTGCTTTACTGACAAAATTAAACAGTTAAGGAATTAATTCTCCCCCCTTTTCCCATCTCTATCTCAACCGCACTTGGACCATACCATCCCTACCCTACAAGACTTCCCTCCAGCTACTTGACAGGAGGTGGCTGCGCTTCTCCCTTCCTCTTATCCCACCACCTGTCCACTTGATCCAGTACCTAATCACCTCATCAGAGCTCTCACCCCTTGTCTTGTACAATCCTTTACACACATCCTAAACTGTTCTCTTTCATCTGGTGTTGTCCCTGCTCCTCTTAAGCATGCTACGGTTGTACCCATCTTTAAAAAGCCATCCCCCGGAACCCATCCTCCACTTCCAACTATTTTCCCATATCTCTGCTTCAGTTTTCCTCAAAGCTTCTAGAAAGACTCTTAACTCAGATGACTCATTTTCCAAATTCCAACTCCCTCCTCGATCCTCTTCAATCTGGCTTTTGCCCCCTCCACTCTGAGACTGCTCTTATTAAAGTTACAAATGACCTAATCACAGCCAAATCCAAAGGCCACTACTCCATACTAATTCTGCTTGACCGCTCTGCTGCCTTTGACATTGTTGATCATGGCCTCCTTCTCCTAACTCTTTAATCTCTTGGTCTTTGTGACACAGCCCTCTCATGCGTCTCTTCCTATCTCTCCCAACACTCCTTTAGTGTCTCTTTATCCAACAGCATCTCCTCTCCTCATCCTGTCTCAGTCCCTCAAGGTTCAGTTCTTGGTCCCCTTTTGTTCTCTCTCTTTCTATACTGCCTCTCTTGGCAAACTCATTAATTCAGTTGGATTCCACAACCATCTGTACGGTGAAGACACCCTGATATATCTCTTCTTCCCTGACCTGTCCTACAACATGTCACCAATTGCCTTTCTTATTTATCGGATTGGATGTTCTCCCACTTTCTGAAACTCAATCTCTCTAAAGCGGAGATTCTTGTTTTTCTTCCTCAGAATACTGATCCTCCTCCTTCACTCTCCCTGCAGGTTGACGGTACCTGCCTCACCCCATCCTTTCAAGCTCGCTGTCTTGGTGTCACTTTTAATCCTGGCCTCACCTTTGCGTCTCATGTCCAATCTGTTGCTAAAACCTGTCGATTCCAACTTAAAAACATTGCCCGCATACGCTCCTTTCTTACGCAAGATGCTGCCAAGGAGCCTGATCGTGCTCTAGTAATCTCTTGCATCGATTACTGTAATGCTCTCCTAACTGGTCTCCTCAGAAGCCATACTGCCCCTCTAGAATCAGTGGTGAATGCTGCTGCCAGGCTGATCTCTCACTACTGTCGCTCCTTTCACACCTCACCCCTCTGTCGATCCTTACACTGGCTTCCTGTATCCTACAGATGTCAATTTAATATTTGAACCCTTACCTATAAAGCTCTAACCAACTCTAGCCCCTCTTACATTTCCTCACAGGTATGCCCCCCTCTCGGTTTCTCCACTCTACTAGTGACCTTCGCCTGTCTGCTGCTCTCACCCTTACTGCAAATATATGCCTGCAAGACTTCTCACGGACAACTCTTTTCCTTTGGAACAGCCTGCCCACCCCTGTCAGACTCTCCCCTAGTCTTCAATCTTTTGAGAAGTCTCTCAAAACCCATATTTTTAGGAATGGTTATAGCTTCCAAGAGTAACTTCTATCTCTCAATACTTCCTCTCGCTCTATCCTATAGGGCCACATTCCACTCTCTCCTCCAGTTCTGCTACTTTCCCACCATGTATATTTGCGGTCTCTCTCAATACCCTTCCTATTGTGGTTTTATCCCCCTCCTCCTCTAGACTGTAAGCTCGTTTTAGCAAGGTCCTCAATGACCTATTGTTCCTGTTACACTTTGTTATTGTCTCATTTGGTAAATTCCCCTTTTATTGTAAACCGCTGCGGATTAAGCTGGCGCTATATAAATACCAATAATAATAATAATAATAATAATAATAATAATAATAATAATAATAATAATAAGTGCCATCTGGTATCTAAGCCAAGAAAAGCCTCGAATAGGTCCCCATAAACGGTTCTTCTTGTGGTAGAGTTTCTAATACCTTTTTCATTAAAATCACCTGGATTTTACTGAAAGGGTACTAAAGCCGTACAGCGAAAATGAATGGTTACGGACAGAAAACCACTTGGAAGAAGGTCGCATAACCTTAATCAGTAGCCTCTTTGCATGAAAGATAGGATTCAGTGTTTGTGGAAGTGTTGTTCCAGTATGAGAAAAACCCTAGAATAATTCATCCCACCTGGAGTGCACCAATAGTCTATGATCCTTTTACTCAAAGAAGTTACTTTGTTTTTAAAGTCAAACTGATGTCTATTGTTTATTCAAGCAGTGGGTCTACCTAAGGAATCTCTATCAGAGGCTCCGCTTCTGTAGAAAAAAGTTTTGTTCAACTTTTTGTTACTTCTATCTTCTGGTAAAACTTCCTTCCCTTATGCTGTTTGAACAAGTCATCTAAATGTGACACAAACAGTCTTCCCTGTTCAAAAGGTATATCACAAAAGGGAGTTCTTAGAAGCTGAATCGGCTGACCAGTTTCTAAACCTCTCTGCCTTACTTGCTACATTGGGAAGACTCTTATTAGCAGGAAGATTTAAAGTTTTCTGATTAAGAAACTGCCAGGAATTCAGATGTCATTCTGATATTCTGCCACAGATGAATAGTAATTACAAATCAAATCTTCCTTAAAGAATCAAGCCAAAATCATTGTGCCTTAGCCACAGATGTTCCTCCAAAAGGGGCTTTACTCTGTGCTGCTGTGGTACTTCCTGATCTGGTTATCTTTAGCAATGGAATTAAAGGGCAGCAATTGCCAGAGCACCTGCCGTGCAAAGATTTCACATTGATTGAACACTTAAAGTCTGGGCGGGGACTATCCACTAAACAGTGATTTTTATTTTTTGTATCTGAGCAGTGGAGTGTCTCTTTGGGCCTTTCCAGCTTCTTAGAAGCTGACTTAGAACCTTCTTATAGCCGTCCAGCTGGGCTGCACACAGGAGGAACAGATTCAATGCATTGAATTGGAAGACATTTTCCCTCTCAGCAGGTTTTACAGCTCAAGAATAGATATACATAAAACAAACCAGCAAGGAAGAAGAAAAAAAATAAAAAATTTCAGGCAAGAGACCATAAGACAAAAGCAAAAAGTCTTAACTTAATGGCCACTGACTGTGCTGGAGAGCTGGTGAGAGCACACTGCAACAGAACTGAGAGCACCTGGCAAACAGATAGTTGCTGCTGGGTTTTGATAACTTCCATGGTCCTGGAAACCTTTAAAAAAAAAAAAAATGCGCCTGAATTTGGAGATCACATTGCGCATGCGTCCTGCACATCATGATATCCCAGTCGCAACCTGCGCGTGTGTTCCACTGCCAGGACCTCCCAGCCTGTGCGCACAGGGCACCTTTACCACTTCCGGCGCCTGACTTGGCATTAGGCGGAAAGTGTAGAATGTGAAACACTGGCACCCAGCGAGAGTTCCATCTAGAAGCAGAGGAAAGAGCCATACGCATACATGACTGCGGCGGCGAGGCTCATCTTCCTGTCCGCCCCAACCTCCCACGCCTCACCCTTCTGTCAGTCCCTACATTGGCTGCCTGTAAGATATAGGGCTCAATTTAAAATTCTGGTTCTTGCTTTCAAATCTCTACATAATGCTGCGCCCACCTATCTATCCTCCCTAATAGACAAGTAGGTCTCGTCTAGGCCCTTACGCTCTGCTGAAGACTTACGTCTATCTTCTGTCCATACTCCCCCCTCTGATGCTCGTCTTCAAGACTTCTTGAGGGCTGCACCATTCCTGTGGAACGCACTTCCCTCCTCCGTTAGATGTTCACCCAGTCTCCACTCCTTCAAAAAAATCATTAAAAACGCACTTCTTCATAAAAGCTTATCAATTAAACCGTTAATAGCTCCTAACTGATTCATCTCTTGCAACTGTCAGTCTAATACGATCCTTACCTTTAGTGTCACTTTACCCCATTCCTTCTAGCATGTAAGCTCGTTGAGCAGGGCCCTAAACCCCTCTGTTCCTGTGTGTCAACTTGTCTGGTTACAACTACATGTCTGTTCGTCCATCCACTGTAAAGCACTGCGGAATTTGTTGGAGCTATATAAATAATAACAATAATACCCATTCTGCATCCTCTGAATCAGCCCGGGCCGAGTCCTGCTCAGCCGCAGCCGACTTATCTTATCCTGGAGACACAAAAGGGAGTGCCTGCTATCCTACCGAAGGCAGGCAGAGAACTGTGGTTGTGGCTTGGAGCTCTAAGGGGGGAGGAGCCTAACGATTAAAATTTGTAGGTGTCGGCCTGCCTTTCCTTTCCAGACTAGAGTATATCCCATGTGTAGTGCACTGCCTCTAATCTGAATGGGGAAAAGATAAATTACCCATTCCTAACACTATAGTGTTCCTTTAAGATGTATTCACCATATTTTATATCTGAATAGGGTTTTCAGCAATTCAGTGTGGGATCATAAGTACTACACAACATCAAAGGTTATTTTTGTTTAAAATTAGCATAGTTTGTAGAAGAATTATTTTGGCCTGACAGGCAGCTTCCCTTATTCATCTTTCTGTGATTTATTTGTAACAAGCTACAAACACAAGAAAAAAAAAAAGCAGAGTAAGACATCGTATCAAACTACACTATAGGCACAGCTCGGCTATTTCTTATGTTAATAAAGATTCTGTCTGGCACTTTAGTATTATTTAAATCTTTGTAGTTAATTGGTTACCCAATACATGCAACACATGGCAGATATTCCAGGCTCTAAGTAGTGACAAATTAAACAAGTTTCATTTTTATCTCATTGCAGTGGAATGTTTGTTGGGGGAAGAACCCACCCAAAAAAAGTAAAAAAGAAAAAAAAAGTGTGTGCACGTGCAAGTATGTCACTTTAATTATAATTTTCATTTCATATAGAGCAGATAAAGGATATGCATTCTGAGTATATATATATAATTTAGCTAATTATAATTTTGCTAAATAAGCTTTGATACATATATCAAAGCTTATTTAGCAAAATTTATCTGCACGTTGGAATTAGTGTAGGACCGACCGATATTGGGTACAGTGAAGTAGTGGTGGGCTTAACAGACTATGGCCATATGGTGGAACTGAATCCCATATTTGTTCGCTGAGATAGTCAATTTTAAGTAGCCTTATAACATTTCAAACTGTATTTCTATGTGTGCGTTGTTCCTTAATCTGTATACAGGTACTCCTCACTTACCGACCAGGTTCCGTTCCTACGACCCGGTCATAGAACGAATTGGTCGGTAAGTGAGGAGTTAAGGGATTCCCTGCTCTGGTACATTTGTCTATGTTTGGGGAAATGTCCCCGAACATAGACGAATGCAGCAGAACAGGGAATCCATCTAAATCCTAGACGACTCGCACTTACCACCCCACAAGAGAGTTGGCCGTAAGTGCGAGGCGTCGTAAAATCAAGGAGAGTGTGTGTGTATGTGTGTATATATATATATATAAAAACACACACACACACAGAAGGTCTTGATTGCACGGTATGTCTTTTTGCTGATGATACTAAGATATGTAACAGGGTTGATGTTCCAAATGGCAAATGATTTAGGTAAAATAAGAAAATGAAAGAAAAGGAAATATACAAAAATCCTGTATACTTAATATAATGAGTGGAACACCTCCTGATTTTCCTACAATAAAAACACATACATAGTGTAATACTGTTATGTAAGGAACATTAATCAATCAAGGTATTGGGTCACTCACAATATGCAGAGCCACATAAAGCTGGCTCTGACTTCAGTGACAGGTGAATAATTAGCTTATTCTGGCTTTCAGATTCCTAGACAGGATAGCTTCTTTCCAGCCCTTCAATGATTTCCGGGATATCCAATTAGTAAAGAGCAAATTAAAACTTTACTAAATAAAATACAGGAAACAGAAATAAGCTTAAGATAACATGAAAAAGAAAAAGTCCACAGCACTAACGCGTTTCGACCTCCAGGTCTTTGTCAAAGTGTGTGGTAAATGCTGGTCTTCTCTCTTTTAAATAGCACTTCTATCTTGAATTTGGCGCCGTTTTGCAGGCGTCCGTCTTCACTTCCGGGTCCGCCAAACATCCACATCACGTGACTCTCCATCCGGTCACCTGATTCTGATGTCATACGCAATGACGTCACTTCCGGATTCTCGATCTTCACCTTGTAAATTCTTTGGATGTCGGCAGTACTGGCATTTTCGCCATATTTGAACTGGGAAAAGAGCCACTACATGCAGAAAACTTCAAATAAATACATCTAGTATATAAAGTGAATGTTATTTCTCCACATTTAAACAAACACTAAACAAGTATGCATACATACATTACAAAAAGAAACATATTCTCAACTAAAAAAAATTTCATAGTATTGCACATCTATATAACAAATAAAAGTTCAAAAAATACAAATTAAAAACATATTCTTACATAGAAAATATTTCATAGGATTACACATCTATATAACAAAATTCATAAAATGCAAATAAGAGAACATACTTTCAACTGGAAGATATTTATTATTTTTACATATCTATAATATGAGGAGGATGATCCCCTTAAAGTGAAATACACTTATAGTGGGGAGTAATTGGTAATGCATAACTATAAGTTAAAAATACCTCAATAAAAATAATACAATATATGTATCTATATATAAAAAAAAAGGTAAATAAATGGTACATAATACATCTGTAGGAGACAAGAAGACAGAAAGATATTAATTAATTTTAAAATTTAATAAAAAATAATTTTAAATAATACCTAAAAAAGTGGAAATCCACAATTAAAATACCCAATAAAAATAGAATACACAAATAAAATTAAAAAAGTGCTGACATCTCGAAATCGATGTTGAGTCCACAAGGAGACAAAGTGTGCAAATTAAATATCCACTTCATCTCGCAGCGGCTCAACGTCGATTCCAGACCCCCTCTCTCCAATGGGCTTCTATCTTTTGTATGCCGAAAAATTGGAGTCCAGAGGGGTCTCCTCCATGGCATTTAAAAAAAATTTAATGATATATTGTGTTTTAAAAAAACCCTCCTAATATTATAGATATGCTCACATATCCTTGTTTTGAGGCACCTAGATGTTTTACCAATGTATTGTAGCCCACAAGGACACATGAGCAAATAAATCACATTTTTAGAACCTTTTTTTATATATAGATACATATATTGTATTATTTTTATTGAGGTATTTTTAACTTATAGCTATGCATTACCAATTACTCCCCACTATAAGTGTATTTCACTTTAAGGGGATCATCCTCCTCATATTATAGATATGTAAAAATAATAAATATCTTCCAGTTGAAAGTATGTTCTCTTATTTGCATTTTATGAATTTTCTTATATAGATGTGTAATCCTATGAAATATTTTCGATGTAAGAATATGTTTTTAATTTGTATTTTATGAACTTTTATTTGTTATATAGATGTGCAATACTATGAAATATTTTTTTAGTTGAGAATATGTTTCTTTTTGTAATGTATGTATGCATACTTGTTTAGTGTTTGTTTAAATGTGGAGAAATAACATTCACTTTATATACTAGATGTATTTATTTGAAGTTTTCTGCATGTAGTGGCTCTTTTCCCAGTTCAAATATGGCGAAAATGCCAGTACTGCCGACATCCAAAGAATTTACAAGGTGAAGATCGAGAATCCGGAAGTGACGTCATTGCGTATGACATCAGAATCAGGTGACCGTATGGAGAGTCACGTGGTGTGGATGTTCGGCGGACCCGGAAGTGAAGACAGACGCCGGTAAAACGGCGCCAAATTCAACGATAGAAGACCAGCATTTACCACACACTTTGACAAAGACCTGGAGGTCAAAACGCGTTAGTTCTGTGGACTTTCTTTTTCATGTTATCTTAAGCTTATTTCTGTTTCCTGTATTTTATTTAGTAAAGTTTTAATTTGCTCTTTACTAATTGGATATCCTGGAAATCATTGAAGGGCTGGAAAGAAGCTATCCTGTCTAGGAATCTGAAAGCCAGAATAATTATTCACCTGTCACTGAAGTCAGAGCCAGCTTTATGTGGCTCTGCATATTGTGAGTGACCCAATACCTTGATTGATTAATGTTCCTTACATAACAGTATTACACTATGTATGTGTTTTTATTGTAGGAAAATCAGGAGGTGTTCCACTCATTATATTAAGTATACAGGATTTTTATATATTTCCTTTGCACCCCCCTTATATCCTTTTCTTTCACTTCATATCTGAGTGCCAATTAGTGATTTTGGGCACTGGGGGTAGTTGCTTATTCTTTGGTCTTAAGCGCCAATCCACCATTCTTTTGTTGTGTTTGCAAACTAGGAAAATGGTCAGAGTTGTGGCAACGACATTTAATGTGGATAAGTGCAAGATAATGCATCTTTAACGTAAATACCAAAGGGCAGAGTACAGAATATTTGATAGAGTCCTAACCTAACATCTGAGGAAAGGGATTTAGGGGTGATTATTTCTGATGACTTAAAAGTAGGCAGACAATGTAATAGAGCAGGAGGAAATGCTAGCAGAAGGAGAGGAATTAGCAGTAGAAAGAAAGAAGTGCTCATGCCATTGTACAGAACACTGGTGAGACCTCACTTTGAGTACTGGAAACTGTATCTCCAGAGGGATATTGATACTTTAAAAAGAGTTCAGCCTTCCAGCTAAAGTGATAGAGGTTAACACAGTAAAGGAGTTTAAGCATGCGTGGGATAGGCATATGGCTATCCTAACTATAAGATGAGGCCAGGGACTAATGAAAGTATTTAGAAAATTGGGCAGACTAGATGGGCCGAATGGTTCTTATCTGCCGTCACATTCTATGTTTCTATAGACAGACAGACACACACACACACACACACACACACACCAGTTTCAGTTTTATCAAATGTATGTTTTTAAAAGCACACTGTCATTACCGGATTGTAAAACATGCTAAGCCCATTTTATGGCATTTTCAACTTGTGTACTTAACTTTCAGCATATATTAAATAAGATTTGATTATGCGTTGAAATTATATTTATCATTAATATTAACAGTGTTGTCATTAATTAGTTGAGATGATGGAAATATACTAGCAGCAAACTAGACAAACTATTACATTTGCTAATAGGAACAAGTGGTTAAATGCTGTTTGAACAAGCTTACAATCTAGAGGAGTTGAGGTACAAAGACAACATTATGTGGTTCAATACAATAAATGGTTTAGGTCAAAAGCAGATAGTTGGTGTTTTAAACACTGTATTAAGACAACATTTCTCCTTTATTGTTAAAGAGAAAGCAGAACAATAGAAATTATTTTTTATTTTCCTGGAATATGAAAGTACCGTAATGTCTTTAGAGAGGGTATTGCTAAAATTATATGTAATGCATTAGCAATTTAAAGCATGTTTTTTATTACAACTTTATAATCCTTTGACGGCTACAAACATGCCAAGTGACTCCAGGGTTGAAGCTATTATAAGGAAAGGTAAGTGAGGTATTTACAGGATGTCTGCTCCAAATGTGCATTCTAAAGCTGGAGAGAATCTCCCGGATTGGCCAACTTCCCTTTATTGTTTTCAGTAGTATATAACACATGGTTGCAGAACAACATGTGGTCTACCCAGGGCTCGGATTCACATATGATTACCAAATCTGGAGAAACCATGGAAGTGATGTGCACTCACTGAATTTTTCATCTAAACTCTCCCTCCCTGCCCACAGGTAGGCAGCAAAATAAAAGAAGAACCCTAAATAAATAAGAACCCTAAACTCAAAGCCAAACCAGCCATCATATCAAAGCAACCCATGCACACTCACAATCCCCAACACACTTGTAAAACACTGCACAAGTCCAATCACACAAAGGAGAATTTGTAGAATGAAAAAATTATGGAGAAGGATGTGGGGAGGGGGGAGGGAGAATGCATGGATGGAGAATAGTGAGGAGAGGAAAAAGATTGATGCAGATGAAAAAAATGGTAGAACAAAAAAACAAAAAAAGGAAGGAAGGAAGGAAAAAGAGGATTTATTATTGTTATTACCATCCCCATTTATATAGCACTAACATATGCCATAGCACTATACAATTATACATTGGGGACATACAAAATAGTGTTGACAGAGTCTTTCTTAGACTGAACACTCAAAAGTTCTCACAGTCCAAGAATTGAAGGAAAGAGGAACACAGGAAAATGAAAAACTTGTCAGGGGGAAGGGAGGATATTAAATATTGGAGGCAATGTAGAGTGGTGGTAGATAGAAAGCAAAGTTTAAAATAAAATGCATAATCTCTGCCTCTTTCTAATTAGTCTGCTTTTTCATGATATGGTCTTGTCATATGTCAAAATGTGGTAAATCTACACAGGATGCTGCTTGTCATGAGAGGGATCAGATAAATTAGAAGACTCAATTTATCTAAAAAATAAAGCTATATAATATAAACACAAGAACAATTACGTAGACTATAGCTGAATTAATAAAATTAAGCCTCTCTGTACTTGGATACCAAATAGATCTACAACTATATTTATTTATTTTTAAAAAAATTTCTAACCAGAAAAAAATAAAAAAACAAAAAAACAAACCACAAATATGACATAAAATTATATTAATTGGAAGCATAACCTAAAAAGAAAAAAAAAAATCAACAATAAAGCCTTGATCAGAAAGCATCAGTTCATATCAACATTAACAATTAATATAAAACTAAGGTGCAAATACGCACAGATAGACCAAGGATCCTGTAGCTGCAATTCAAATATTGTATGTATACATAAAACGTATATATTTTGTGATAAAGTGGCTTTACCAAACAGCTCAAATTATGCCATTTGGAATACTACTTCTACTTTCATAAATATTCATAAATCATTGGGGTATTTTTTTTTCCTGGGCTGCCATACTGCCTCAAAAGGTAACATAAGCCCAGAAAGTCACTTTGTGAAATTTCCAAGTTCAGATAGGCATCCAATATATTTGGTCTTAAATGCTGTGTAGAACATGGGAAATAACAAAATGTTTTCATTTCTCACACCAGACATCCTAAGTCTCTCAGTAGTTCTGGAAGACTTCTGCATTTCGCATGCGGCTCCCTGACACCTGCAGAACATGTATAATATCCCAGAAAGCGTAGATGGTGAAGCCACCACCCTGAAATGCATTTTTGGGGGGAATGTCGGTCACACTATTTTGGGATTTTAGTAATATTAAATTAGATCTCATAAATAAATATTTGATGTGACATGAAAGCTCTGTTTCTTCTGAACAAAATGATATATAAGTGTGGGTGCACTTAATATGAATTATAGTTGAACAGACAAAAAGCTCAAATGCAACTTATACACTTTATGTACAGAAGACAATTTCTATCTGTTGTACAGAGGAAGTACCAAATTATAGTCAACTGAAGAAACAAAAAAAATTTTTTTTTTTTAAATTATTGTATATTATATATACACACACACACACACACACACACACACACACACACACAGTATATATAATTACACCCAAGTAGATGCCTTGATGTGTGTGTACATGGAATCTAGAATAAAATTAAACACGTTTTCCATCTCTAGGCAAATGATAAGTTAAATACACAAAACTGTGGAGAAATTCTAACACCAAAATAAACAGTCCTTTTTCTGATGGGTGAGGTCAGAAACTAATTTGGTTTCTACATACAGGGTGCAATGTACATTAACATTATGTATGAATCTTTGAAACCCTTGCAAATGAATTGATGAACACACAATGTATGCTCGTTAAGTGATAACTGTAAAATATGAAAAAAGAAAAAAAGAACCCATTAAGAGCTTCAATTGCCTATGTGGGTTCCAGAAGAAGGAACAGTGTTTTCCTTGTAGAGTGTTTTAAATAGCAATTAGGTTAGATAAAACTGTCTACTGGGCCAGCGTATGCTCTCCACCCATGCACAGTTAGTTAAAAGTGAACTTTCACTTCTCAGTATTTTATTTCCTGTTTTATTGATAGAATAATACACAGGAAACACAGGCAGTATTATTAAAATAATATACTCAGATGAAGCCAATACAAGGTATCCATGTGGAAGATTTTAAGCTAGCTTACACTTCACATACTATTGCCATATGTCAAACATGTTTTGTTAGAGTTAATTGCCATTCTTTTTCGTATATTAAGAAGACTTCTTAATTTCCCCTTTAGTGTGACAATACCACTCATCAAAACAACTGGGGGAGTGAATACAAGCAGTTTGTCTCTCATTTGGGATACAGTAAATCATTTAAGACATGTCATTAGCACTATGAAGAAATAAACAAAATTATTCTAACAGGAGATGCAAGGTCAAAGACTTGTGATGTCGGTAGGTTTTCAGGTTTTCTCCCTTGGCGCTGGATAAAGGTAAGTGGCTGAAGGGGTTTTATATAGTATCAGAAAAAACAAAAAAAAAAGTTATATTTAAACCCATTATGCACAATTGTTAGGCAGCATCATGGTTATTCTAACAACCCAAATAGGTTAGGTGCAGCAGTGTACATACCGCGTCACAGGGGTCGCAGCTGCAACGGCCCATCACTGCAGGGGGACCGGCCACCCGGCGGACCCCCGCGACCGGGTACCAGCTGCCACGTTTTGCGGCCCTGGCCCGTGCGGTAAACCACCGGGGCCGCATGTTAAGGGGTCCATCGGGTGGACCATGCTGAAGGGCCACCCGATGGATATGGATTGTCAAGGTGCCCAGTCAGCGCTGGGTGCTTTAACAGCGCGACCAGGCCCCCTGTGATAACATCACTGCTGGGAGGAAGTGACTCCCTGGTCACTCCTCCCAGCTATCAGCCCACGCGGGAGGAAGCAGGAAGGAAGAGGGAGTCAGATTGGGAACTCTGACTCCCATCAGGCTGAGCCCCCACTGGACCCCAGGGAAAGTAACAAAAGGTAGGAAACATTGTGTGTGTCTCTGTATGTATGTGTGTGTGTGTGTGTGTGTGTGTGTGTGTGTGTGTGTGTGTGTGCGTACATCTGCGTGCGTGCATGTGTATGTATGTATGTATCGGGGGGGCCACGGTCAGGGGGGAGAGAGTCAGAGTAGTGGAGAAGGGGAGGGCCCATGGATTGTGTGTACGCCACTGGTTATGTGTTCTGGAAAGGTGCCCTTTAAAAACCAAAAGAATCATGAATGCACATTAAATAAAACTATACCAAATTGACATTGTACATGGAGTGATAATACCAGGTTGATAGAATATACACAAAATGAGAAACAGTTACACCTTAGCTTGATACTCTTAGTCTGCAAGAGCGAAACAGACTCCAAAAAAACAGGCTTTTCAGTAAAATAAAAAAAACGCAAGGAGTGCCATATTGACCAAATAAAGACATATGAAAAAAAAAAATGAAATAGAAGTTGAAACTTATATGGCATACATACAAGTACATGAACATTCACTGTGACACCAATGGAGGAGGATTTAGAGCAGCAGTATATGTTGTTCATCAGTAAAACTACAAGCAACAGAGACAAAGCTGCTCTACATACCTAAGATATGCAAGAAGTATAGGAGTCCATCAACCTAATATTGGGGGATAGAAATTCAAAAAACAATATATGGCCACACTAACCTAAAGAATATGTTAGTCTGAGACGGTTAAAACTATTCATTACGACAGCACACTGATTTAATTAGACTTGTGAGAAGAGGACACAAGAAAATGAAAAATACAATGCCATGTCAGCACCCTTCTGCTCTGTGTTCAACAGAGAATAAACCAACCAGGAGAATTACACTAAGGTAGGCCGCACTGTACATATACAAATAAAGTTGTTTCACTGTAGAATGTCAAGAGGCGACAAAGGAATATTTACATTTTAAACATGCTGCTACTGAGCCACAGGACTATTTTTGTAAAGTGAAAGATCTCAACCTGCTATTCATTCTGTTCTATTAAAATGATAACAAAATATGTATTGTTGAGATAAAAAAAAATGAAAAAAAATGGAGCCATGTTAGATGTATTCTGTATTAAATTACCCCAACAGTCATAAACTATATACTTGATATATGCATAGTAGTATGCAAAAATGAAAACGGTTTCCTGTCAATTTGTATCTATATAAAAGTTAGAAGGCAACCATTTTTTTTTTTTTTTAAACCTCACATGATATGTTAACCCAACTCAAATACAAAAGGGAACAATGGATGCCACACTCCTTACATGACCCTCAACACCTTCAAAAGGGACACTATAGTCACCAGAACCACTACAGCTTAATGTAGTGGTTATGGTGTTTATGGCATGTCCCTATTATCCTTTTAATATAACCTATGCCTTTTCAGCACTGGCATTCAGCGTCTCCATGCTCTGCATTGAGACACTGAATGTTTCCTATAGAGATGGACTGATTTATTGCATCTCTATGATTAGATGCTGATTGGCGCAGTGTAGCATTTTTCCATGCATGCACGCACAATACCTTCTCAATGCTTTCCTATGGGATTTCAACATCATCTTTGACCGGTGCGGCATGGGAGAAAGAGGTGAGTAAAAATACTTTTCCCATACAATGCAATGGGGGCTGGGAACTAAATTAAATCGTATAACACTATAGAGGTTTCTGTTCACCACACTATAGTGTTCCTTTAAGGTTACAATAAAAGTATCAGAACAGTATCCTCCATACTCATATTAAAGGAAAGATTTATATGAGCAAGTCCTATCTGCCAACCAATAACATGGAACATCTGGCTTTCCCCAGCTAGGTTAGGGTACTAAAAATAGATAACTTAAACCATATGTAGTTTTACATTTTAGGAATGTGTTACAAATAAAATATTTTCCAATTAATATATGAAATACAAAAATAGATTACATGATAAACAATTGCAGCTGCCCCACATGCCTACAATGTTCCCAAACAATGATTTTCAAGAGTGAACGTTTTTCTAGCATACCCATTAGGGGAAGAGAAAAAAAAAATTATAAAATTGAATTATTTGCAGACCACTCTGAAAAATTTTAATATGGAAATGGTGGAAAATTAAGTACAAACCACAAAAACATCTGTAATGTTTAAAAGTGATTTGTTAATGGCATAAGCTATTCAAGTTATTAGATTCTACAGCGCTACGGAATTTGCTGGCACTTTATAAATAATAAAAAAGAATAATAATAATATATAAAATGTGTTGGCTAAACTGTAAGCCAGGAAGATCTACAAGCAAAATGGTTAAATGAAAATTTGATGCCAATTAAAGCGGCCATCAAAACTTTGGGATCCCTAAGAAAATCATTGGTTGGGTCCCTGAAAGATGTACACTAATAAATGCATCCCTAGGTGCACAAAAAATACACACAGATTCAAACTCAAATGCATACAGACAGCAACACACTAACAATCTGCCAGACACCCACCATTACTGGAAAACATGTTTCTAGCCACCCTCCCGTTGGACAATGTTTGTGTCTGCAGAACAGTTGAATGCACAGTGTCTAGTGCAGCAGACAAGCAGTGTGAGGGCTCCCTTCACTCTTATGTAACTTCTTTCAAACTTTGTCAGAATTTGATGTGTCACTTCTTCCAGTGTGGAACACCAGGATGAAAGGGAGTCTAGGATCTGGTAATGTGCCCATTCTGTTGGAGAAATGCCAGGCACTCTGCACAGAGGGGTTAGTTATATCTCGTCAACCAGATCACATAGCCCATGTGGGGTCCCCGTGCTTGGTCAGATCCCTACTCAAGCACTAGCTGTACTGCCTGATAATGTAATAATCTAAATATATCTTTTGCACACAAGTTAAAGGGAATCTATAGTAATAGAAATACAAAGTTGTATTCCTAGCACTACAGTGTCCTCTGGTCTCCCCTCCCTTAAACAACTCCTTCCAGCAGATAAAGGGTTAACAAAAAAACCAAAACAAAAAAAAACACCTTTATTTACTCACCCGATTCCAGCGCCAATGCCAATCCCTCCCACGAGCACATTAGAGTTTTCCCCAATAGGAAAGCATTGAATAAATGTTTTCCTATGGGGGATCTACCTGATGCTGGATGCCCTCACGCAGAGCTTAAAGGACCACTATAGTGCCAGGAAAACATACTCTTTTTCCTGGCACTATAGTGCCCTGAGGGTGCCCCCACCCTAAGGGACCCCCTCCCGCCCAGCTCTGGAAGGGGGAAAGGGGTTAAAACATACCTTTTTCCAGCGCTGGGTGGAGAGCTCTTCTCCTCCGATCCTCCTCCTCTCGTCCCCGTTGGCTGGATGCATGCGCATTCAGCCAGTCACATAGGAAAGCATTCATAATGCTTTCCTATGGACGCTGGCGTGCTCTCACTGTGAAAATCACAGTGAGAATCACACAAGCGCCTCTAGCGGCTGTCAATGAGACAGCCACTAGAGGAAATAGGGGAAGGCTTAACCCATTCATAAACATAGCAGTTTCTCTGAAACTGCTATGTTTATGAAAAAATGGGTTAACCCTAGCTGGACCAGGCACCCAGACCACTTCATTAAGCTGAAGTGGTCTGGGTGCCTAGAGTGGTCCTTTAACCCCTTAAGGACACATGACATGTCTGACATGTCATGATTCCCTTTTATTCCAGAAGTTTGGTCCTTAATGGGTTAATTTAGTTGTAATCAGGCACCAGAGGCTGTCTTAATATTGCAGTTTCTTAAAAACTGCAATGTTTTACTTTTCACGACTAAGGGGGATAGGGGCACTGCACCCAGACCACTTCAAAGAGGTTAAGTGGTCCTGCTGCATATAGTGTCCATTTGAACGGACAGGTACTAACACAACATTTGTACATTTTATATATTTTGCCCTAAATAATTAGCCGTTTTTCTTCCACCACATACAATTCTATTAAAAAACAAAATGCAACATTCTGAGTTTTTTTTGCCCTGCCTCTTCAATTAAAACACTTCCTTACTGCTTATAACTTAATTACAGGTCCTAAGAAAAACTGCTCCTGCAGAACGGAGGCTGTGCACAGAGAACTTTAAAGGACCACTATAGGCACCCAGACCACTTCAGCGTAAAGAAGTGGTCTGGGTGCCAAGTCCATCTAGGTTTAACCCTTTTTGCTGTAAACATAGCAGTTTCAGAGAAACTGCTATGTTTACCTATAGGTTAATCCAGCCTCCAGTGGCTGTCTCATTGACAGCCGCTAGAGGCGCTTCTGCGCTTCTCACTGTGATTTTCACAGTGAGAAGACGCCAGCGTCCATAGGAAAGCATTAAGAATGCTTTCCTATGGACTAGCTGAATGCGCTCGTGGCTCTTGCTGCGCATGTGCATTCAGCCGATGATGGCGAAAAAGGAGGAGAGTTCCCCGCATGAGGGAAAAAGGTAAGGGATTAACCCCTTCCACCCCCTAGAGCCCAGCGGGAGGGGGACCCAGAGGGTGGGGGGGGGGGGACCTAGAGACCCTAAAGTGCCAGGAAAACGAGTATGTGTTGGAAGAAACAGTTGTGTTGGAAGAAACAGTTTAAGATTGACAGATGCATAATTGAGAGTCGTCTACATAAAAACCATGTATCCATTAAAAGTTGGACCAGAGAGTTGCTGCCAGAGTAATGCCCAGAATAGGACACTTAAGGTTTGGCTGGTAGCCCAATGGATGCTAATTGTTTTCCACGGATAAAAAAAATTACCTAAAAAAAAAAAAAAAATATATATATATATATATATATTTGCATTTTCACATGTGAAAGCATGAGGTTATTTACAATTCAACATTCAACCCATGACACAGTTCTCCAAGGCCAACATGTGTAGATTGACTAAAACAATGACAGATCAATAACATATGTTTTACAGTTACGTCACATCAAGTAGGGAATGTGGCAGGAACAATTAAGCAATATTATGGTTGATTACATTTATATAGCTATACTTAGCATTTTTTTATAGACAAGGAGGCGGCAAAACAAGAAAATGCCAGTTACAAACCTAGCACTGCTAGTTATTCTAGTGATGGTATATTAGCCTAGGTGAACCCATCATTGTGCCGTGAAGGTAAACAGCCAGATTTGTATCAGATCCTTTTAAATTTTAATAGAAACAAAAAATAAACAAACAATAAAAAAAAAAAAGAAAAATGATGTAGTACATTCATTATAGATTATATCACTTGAACTGGTAAAATAAAAGACCATTTTTAAAAAGCAGCAAGAACCAGAGGATATGGTAACAAGGAGGAGAAAAGCAAAACAGGATTATTTAAAGGGTTACTCCAAGCACTATGATCACTTCAGTGATTTGAAGTGATCATGGTACCTGGAATGTTAATGTGTACCATAATCATTTGAAGCAATGGACATATAGTTTATCCCGTGTGCTTCCATAGGTATAAATCCACCTCCTTGCAACATCATTGGGTGTTATCAGCTAGCCTGGCTAATATCAATTCTGTGCATATTTCTAGTAACAGAATTACATTGAGGGTGCTGAGAGCTGTCAGCTGACATGCTCAGCCAATGAATGGGGGGGAAAAAGGAATTTGGATATTCAGCACAACTACTAAAGATATGCATATATCTTATAGTTGTGATGAACCTCCTTATTAGTTTGCTAAGATATGTGATTTTAAGTAGCCTTGTAAAATGGAAAACAAAAACATTTAAATTGTTTTTTTTGTTTGTATTTTTTTATTCCATGTGAACTGTTCCTTATTCTGTATTATGAATGCAGACAGCCATGGCCTCCTGCTTTTGCAGCTCTGCAATAGCATGATGTGCATCAGAGGTGTAAGGACCCACAGCACCTGGCTGGGACTAGCTAAGAGGGAAAACCACTGCAAGTTGGTTTCCCCCATTATCAGGGGTCCAGGCCACAGTACTCCTCCCATCATAAAAACTACTATGGGATATAGTGGTAGTTATGATGTTCTTTAAGCTTTGGCTTTATTCAGATTCTAACTGTCATTCAGTAAAGGCTATGCCTAGATCTGAAGTAGAAGCACATCCCTGTAATAAATCCTAAAAAATTAGCAATGTTTACAATGTTAATATTTGTCAATGTATTTACTAGAAGCAACACATATGTTAAAACTAGTAAGTCTAGAAAAACCCTCTGCCCCGCTGTCAATTTTATTTTACTGTACCTCCCAATTGAATGTAAAAGTGTTCTGCCTAAAAAAAATAAAAATAAAACAAAAAACATAGATCTGCTATCCCCAGGATCAGAACAGAATATACAAATTTCAGGTTGTAGTTTTTAAAGCCAAGATATGAAAATTGTAAATTACTAGTAACTAAACCTCGATGAAAAAAATACTAATCACACTATTTTGGCAGCATAATTCCAATTAAAACTGATAAATTCCTCCTCAAGCACAAGAAAAACACCTTATACCAGAAAAAAATTAAAGAAAAGAAGGAGCTTTATTAACATCAGGACTGAATTAATCTGACACGTTTTGTGCCTACTATGGGCCTTCATCAGAATCTCTGAACAAGTCTTCCAAGCCTTCAAGCAGTCACAGAGCCAGCATGGCTCTCCAGGGACTAAGGGTACATTTAAAAACGTGTCCCTAGTTTAGCATAAGTTTTTTTTCTTGCCTCCAAAGATTTATTTTAACTAATGAAAAACTAAAATATAGACAGACATATAAACTTCCTGTCAACTGTCTACACTTGTCCAATGTATTCACTAAATAATTAACTAAATTGTTGTGAAATGAAAACTGAATTACAAAATTATAGGTGAAATAGCCAAACTGTGAGTTAGATGATTTTTCAGCTCCTTCAGACTAAATTGTGCAGTGATCAGAGTTATTCCCTACAATATAAGTTTCCAGGAAATCAATACTCAGATTTTAGGTAAAAATAGCTGCCTTGGAGAATTTTAACTATGTTTTTAGCTTGGCTATTCCAGTCAGTCATTTTTTTATTTTTTTTTAACTGCTTTAAGTATTTAACAAGAATTTAACAAATAAAGGCCCATGGATTGTTGTTTAACATTCAAATGCATTGATAACACTAAATCACATAAACCTTGACACATATTCAAAACTAACATGGGGTCATATCCTCAGCCATTTAAAAAAAAATAAAAAAATACTTTGTTATTAATTTACTGTTCTGAACAGAATAATATTATAACGATGTTATCCACAGGTCCCAGATCCCTAGATACATACATAGTAGGTGTGTTTACTAGTAGAGTCGGTATTGATCTAAATAAAGCCCTGGAACATGAATAGTTTGATATAGCTCACACTGAAAGAACACCTATCTAGACTTTATATTACAAATAACAGCTCTATGTGCAAATATCATGTCATAGAGCTGGGTGGGGGTGGGGGTGGGCTCCTGGAGATGAAAAGGTTAAGTGTCCAATGTAAACAAGTAGATACATAGCATGGACTTTCACCATGTACATTTTAACCTGATGGTCGATGGGAGGTAAATGCTCACTGAGAATACAGCTTAACCATTCACAAATACCCTGGGAAGTAACATATGTACAGTATTTACCTTCTCTGACTCCCGGGAGCTTGGAGTTATCGATACTGATTTCAGTAGTCATGTTAGCAATGTGTCTGTGTTCAATCCTTCTGTGATATTTATGTGAAACACTTTAATCGGCCCCTGTGTGTCTGGCGTGGCTGCATGCAGAGGAGACTGTCATTAGAATGGGAAACCTTGAGTCCGGATAGAACGCTTTGCTTGATCAACAAGAAGTCTTAAGAAGAGATACAACGTATCCAGGAGTCAGGAAAGCCTTTTTTTTTTTTTTACTAGGGGTGTATGGCGAGAGAGAAAGGACAAAATGCATTGAGGGTTGGGCTTGTCAAACAATTGTGTGAGATCATTGTATAACTATTCACACTGCAAACACTAGGGGCACTAGGAGTAGAATTTAACCCGTTCACTGACAGAGTTAGATGCATCCAAATTCTTTGCACATACTGTAAACACGAAATAGAGGTGGGGTGTTCAGCATCCTTAATCGGTATTTAATTTTAATATTCTGTGCTGTTGGACTCTGTGATTCAGATCACCCTATCGAATGAGATTATTGTATCTTTTATTGTTAATTTCTTCTCACTATAATACTGCAATAGGCTACACATGACAGTATATTCTATGTAATAATTTCTATTCCATGTTAGATAAGTTTGGAGTTGTAACTCAGAGCAAATAGAGTTGTAAAATATTGTTTTCTAAGAAATGTTATTTATTTGTTACCTTTTTTGATTACTATTTTCTGCCCTATTGTGTTTTATGCCCCACCTCCTATAGACGAAGTTTGTTTGAGCAGGGTCCTCTTCAGCCTATTGTTCCTGTAAGGTTTTGTAATTGTCTTATTTATTGTTACATCTCCCTCTCCTATAATATTGTAAAGCGCTACGGAATTTGTTGGCGCTATATAAATGCCGATAATAATGATGATAATAATAATAGTAATTTGTTAGCTAGTACAACTATAATGCATTTGCTTATTCCTTAGCAAACAAATTAGACATTTTATTAATGGACAGCACTTCAGCCTCTGATGTTCATTGAACTGGAGGGACAAATATCACTCACTACAGTTCAGGCTTTAGTCTGATATCAGCATGTATGCATAGCTGAGCCATGCTACTAACCAACCTCAAATTAACTATTTATGTATTCATTATGTTGTGTGTACACTATGCGTAAGATAATTAGCATGCTACAGCTCGTATCCAGTTTTCAGAAACATCAAGAAGCAAATTAGGACCAAACAGCCCCATGTAAATAGGCATCTAGGGGGCATAGATATGTTTACGTTTATTTTTAAACTCACTTGCGTCAGTTAATTACTAAACTGTGGATTGCTAGGAATTCAGTGGGGGATTGCATATTTTATGGGTTATTCTAAACATTATAATCACTGCAGCCTGTTGGAGAACCTGAATGTTGATCCGCCTGCTCATTGATTGGCTAAGAATGTCAGCTGAACGCCTATCCAATGAATTAGCATCTGTGCGTGAAAATATGCACAGAATTGACATTAGCCAACTTGGAATGCTTCTTCTGGGCTGGCTAATGATCCCCCAATGACGCTATTGGAAATGAAATTACCCCTCTGGCACCAAAGCGATTAAACTCTTTATTTGCAGCGTTTCATAGTGAAACACTGCACATACAGACTCCAAGCACTATGGCCACTTCAAATATCTGATCATCGTACTTGGAGTAACTATTCAAGGTCAAAATAACTCAATTAGAAATGTAGCTGAATTTTCCCAATTTTCCATATTAGCATAAAGTTTGCATTTCCCACACAGTATGTTTTTTACTTCCATGCTTCTTACAAAAATAGACCTGACAACATCATTGAAACTGCCCTGAAATGCTAGTTGGTTTATAGCTGATCGCTGTTCAATCATTAATCACCTGGAATAGAGTATAAGAAAAGAGGCAAATTGCCTGTACAACTCCCCCCTGCCCCCCCCCCTTTTATACCTCTACCACTTTCCAGGAGTGGTGAGGTAAAAAAAAAAAAGTGACTGGGCAGGTATTGTTGCCCAGTCGTTAAAAAAGCCTTATTCTGTTAGGATGGGAGTAGTAAATTAACAGGGGGTAACCTAGCACTGCTTAAATATTAACACTGAAATTGTGGACATGTCATTGTCCTTTCCCATGCCTGCACATAAGGGCAACAGGTGAGGGCTATACAAAAACACATGGGATAGAACTTGCCTGTGTCCCTTCCTGGCCCCACCTATGGGGTACAGGTGGAGGGTATTAAATTATCAATTGGGGGCATGCTATAGTTCCCCCAGTCCAATTAAGGGCCATCATGTGAATGGTAGTTGATGAGGGAGTGGCCATGACAATTGTTTTAGGTCCGTGACCCATGGGTGGCTAAAGGTCCCCTAGTAACTAATAATAGTGAACATGGGACAATACTCATTTTTAGAATTCTTTTTTTTTCTAATGTCTTATTTTTTTAATTCTCAAAAAAGGCCAAATAAAAAAAATAAAAAAAATAACTGATACAACAATTAAAAATAAAAAAGACCCAAATCAGAAAATAAAAAAACACCATAAAATAAATTAGTCAAAGCACTTTGGCAGGCTGGTAATGTGTGGGTAGTGGCAGATGGGGACAATAACATGTATCCCCATTTTATATATATTAAAACCCCTACCTGCCACCCATGGTGGGGACTGGTGAGGGACTTTGGCAAGCTTCACTCTTGTATCGCAGTATTAGCTCCTACCTGCTGCCCCTGGGTGGATGTCCACCCATGTTTTTCGTATAGCCTTCTACTCATAATCATTGGGTTGAGGGTGGTGGGTTGACAGTGATTTACCTAGTATCCAGTGATATTTGGGGCATGAGAGTGACCAGTGCAACCCTAATATTAAACTAGGCTCAGCCTGTACAAAAATTTGAATATTTCTATTCAACACCATCTGGAATACAAAAATAGTTTACCTTAAACATGATCTTGATTGTGTTTCTGTTAACTGTGCTAAAATATATTACTTTGAAATACCACAGTGCTCACATATATAGGTCACCATCTCAAAAGAGAATTGAGATGAAGTGTATCCGCTGGTTAGAGCAGTGGTAATGTCACTGCCTCAGAGCTGAGAAACTAGTGACTTGGGCAAGACACCTAACGATACACATCCACCTACTACAAATCCTCAAAGATTGTAAGCTCATTTGAGCAGGGCCTTCTTTGTCTCTAATGTCTACTGCTATGGAAACGATAAAAGATAAGATAAAGATAAAAAAAGCAACATTGCAGTTAGAGACCTGTTCAGTAGCCACAACATTTGACATTGTCTTTAGGGTCAAGTACATCCTCCTACTAAACCTGTATTGGGAAAATACAACAGCAAAAAAGAGAATCATATGGCATACATACATAGATGTCCAATACATCTGCCGGTCAAGCACTCTTATTCACTAAAAAAATGATATCTGGCGAGTTAAACCTCAATTGAAACATTAAGACTAAGTTCTCCAACTCCACTGTAGTCACAGATGGTAAGTATATCCTGAATATTGCCATAGTTGTCTAAAATTTCCTGTTCAGCTAATTTGGTGTTGAGTTAAAAAGTGTGATTTACTTTCATAGCGGTTTATTGAACCGAATTCTGAATTATACAGAACTAAAATGTAAATGGTAAAATTTAGGGGGAAAACACGAGGGGAAAGAACGAGATGAATACTGAGTTCATACCCGACTAGACACACCACACCACACTGGGTGTCACATGACACACGACTCTTGTTCCTTTGTTACACGTTTGTGGCCTGCAAGCCCTAATGTTCCACACCAAAATGTGGACCTTCGAGTCCATACCTAGCTGATTTATCAACCTTGCTAGTGATTTCCTATGCGAGACCTGCGCGTCTCGCTATGTTATTACTTTCTTGCTTCTCAAAGTTATTGTTCTGAAATGAAAAAGACCAATAAAAATAAATAATAATAATAATAATAATAAAAATGGGTCCTACGTGTCCATCAGTCTACAAATGCCTTTTCACCACTCCGAGACCTGCGATTCTCATCATGTGCTGTGCGGCCTAAGAGGTGACCTGCATGTCACAGATGTATACTTTGGTAGTGCTCATGAAAACACCGTTATGAAAAAAACAATAAAAGTTAGGGGGAATAAAGCAGATTTTAAAAATATCTGCAACAGCTATAGTAACAAACTGGCTATATTAATCTGGACTTTGTCATTTGGATTTAATTTTGATACAATCAAAGTTTAGCAAATAAGCCCCATATTAAAAGTTCAACTAAGTTTGATATGCTTGCAAAATATTCAGGCAATCATTTGCAAAATTAAGTTGACCAACATTCACCCATATGGTGGAATGTCACAGAACATTTTCCTAATTCCTATCTTTATTGCAATAGCCATAGACAAATGAACGCTAGAAACCAATTATTTTTTCTTAATTTCTGGTATCATAGTTTTGTCTATTCTAAGGAATACATTCTGGGGCACAACATACTATACTATACATGGTTACTCAATGCTTTGTGAAAGGGCAAGAAAACACTAGGACATGTAATGGATTATTCAAGCAAAATGACCACTGTAGTGATCTGAGGTGGTCATGGTGCTTGGGCTGCTCTAAGAACAGTATTTTACTATAAAACACTGCACACACAGTTTACCTCTTTTGTTGCCGGAGGTGTAATCCCACCCCTGACAGCATCATTGGGTCATCATTAGCCAGCCTGAATATTGTCAGTTCTGTGCCTTTTGCATGCCTGTTGATAGCATGTACAGCATGCTTCTGAAAGGCATCCAATGGCAGTTCTTGCTCCCCCCCTCCCCCCATGCTTGGAGAACTTAGCCTTGGTGCAGAGAAGGAGGTATGTGATTGCTGTACAAGGATAGGAAGAAAATATAAAAATATTTTTTTCTAATTTGGTTATTTGCTTCTGCTGCAGAACACAATTCTCTCCTAAGTGTTGGGCTCAGCTAGTGTCTATCTCTAGCATAATTTATGGATTAAATCACTGGTGTGTTATAAAGACAAGGCAGGTGCATTTAAAAGACTTCTGTTTGCTAAAGATT